AACTTTAATGGTATCCCAGTCTTAGTCAGTAGGGTTCAATATTGAGTTGGCCCACCCTTTGCAGCTATAACAGCTTCAACTTTTCTGGGAAGGCTGTCCACAAGGCTTACGAGTTTGTCTATAGGAATGTTTAACCATTCCTCCAGAAGTGTATTTGTGAGGTCAGGCACTGATGTCAGATGAGAAGGCCTGGTTCGCAGTCTCCGCTCTAATTCATCTTAAAGGTGTTCTATCTGGTTGAGTTCAGGACTCTCTGCAGGCCAGTCACATTCCTCCACCCCAAACTCACTCATCCATGTCTTTATGGACCTTGCTTTGTGCATTGGTGTTCAGTCATGTTGGAACAGGAAGGGACCAGGGGCAGACTGACAAACTCATGGGGCCGCCAGGCAATAGGGGATCATGGGGCCCCTGTGTCCTTGCCCAAACTCAAAAAAGCCTATGAAAAAGGTACCAGGGGCATCTCATGGACCCCTATTGACCCAGGGCCCTCGGGCAGTGCCCGAGTTTCCAAATGGTCAGTCCGCCCCTGGAAGGGACCATCCCCAAATTGTTCCCACAAAGTTGGGAGCATGAAATTGTCCAAAATGTCTTGGTATGCTGACGCCTTAAGCGTTCCTTTCACTGGAACTAAGGCCAACCCCTGAAAAACGACCCCCACACCATAATCCCCTTCCACCAAACTTTACACTTGGCACAATGCAGTCAGGCAAGTACCGTTCTCCTGGCAACTGCCAAACACAGACATCAGTCCATCAGATTGCCAGACAGAGAAGCGTGATTCGTCACTCCAGAGAACACGTCTCCACTGCTCTAAATTCCAGTGGCTGCATGTTTTACACCACTGCATCTGATGCTTTGCATTGCACTTGGTGATGTAAGGCTTGGATGCAGCTGCTTGGCCATGAAAACCCATTCCATGAAGCTCACTACGCACTGTTGTTGTGCCAATCCGAAGGCCACACAAAGTTTGGAGGTCTTTAGCTAATGACTCTGCAGACAGTTGACAACCTCTGCACTCTGTATGCTTCGGCATGTGCTGACCACGCTCTGCCATTTTTTTTACGTAGCCTACCACTTCTAGGCTTAGTTCCTGTTGTTCCCAGTTGCTTCCACTTTGTTATAATACAACTAACAGTTGACCGTGGAATATTTAGTAGCAAGGAAATTTCAAGGATGGACTTATTGCAAGGTGGCAACCTATCACGTTACCATGCTTGAATTCACTGAGCTCCTGAGAGCGACCCATTCTTTTACAAATGCTTGTATAAGCAATCTGCATCCCTAGGTGCTTGATTTTCCACACCTGTGGCCATGGAGGTGATTGGAACACCTGAATCCAGTGATTTGGAGGGTTGTCCCAATACTTTGGCAATATAGTGTAGTATTCAATAAAGTGCCTTCCTGCTCTCAATTTTTTACTTCTTCAGTATAGTTCTGCTTTAATTTGAGGTTAAATTAAATGTTTAAAAGATATACCTTGCCTTTCCTGTATAAAAAAATCTGAGGATTCTTGCACATGCACCATTGAACCTTCCACTAAATTGAATAAAAAATAGAGAGGGGGCATAAAGAATAAAGGAGTTGAAGATGTACTATACCTTTTACCTTTTCACATTGGGTTCTGGGCATTTAGCTGGGAAAAAAATATCACTTTAACATTTTGTGTGCACAGGGACTTAATGGTGTTTCTGGAAGCCCTGGTCGGCCTGGTTCTAAAGGAGAGCCTGGTGAAGTTTTTTCACTGCCGGGACTAAAAGGAGAAAAGGGTGACCCAGGATTCCCAGGTCCAGCAGGTAGTCCTGGTCTAGATGCCAACCCAGGAAGAGACGGAATCCCAGGACTTCCAGGTCCTAAAGGAGAACCTGTATGTTATTATCTTCTCATCCCTGTCATTCAACAATTTAGTGAATTTGTCATGTGTTAATGTGTTATGCCCACTGTCTTGCATAGTCTTTACTTCTTCATAATGTTCTGAAAATGTGTCACTCTTTGTATTTCGTTTTCTCTAAAAGGGGTAAAAAAAATCTCCTATTAGATTAGTTGGAAACAGGGTATCCATTTATGGGCAATAGTGGGGCCATAACTAAAGCCTCAGTTTTCTAGTACTACACTGACCATTTTTTTGAAAATTCGCCTGACTTTACCTACATTTGTAAGCCTACAAAATGTTGATATACCTATGCTTTATATTTATTTGGGGGTCAACTTCAATATCATAGGGATTCCCAAGTGTAAAAATTACCCATTGCCTAGATATGACAGAGTCAAGTAACGAGTAAATACGTGATACATTTAGCAGTGACTACGTACTGCATCCAAAAGGGATGCAATAGAAAACAGGTGAAGTTGGTCACTCCAATTCAGCAATGTTCCTGACAGTTTTCCCAAGGGATAATAGAAGCCCATTCAAATATCAGAAGTGGGTAGACTGATATTCGATTACAGCAGCCTTTCTCAGCCTTTTTTAATATGGAGGAACCCTTGGAATAATTTGCATTTCTCAGGAACCCCTACTAATAATTATTATATCTACAGCACATTGGGGTCAACAGAAAGTTGTAGCTGTAAGATTTAATGAAATAATAAAAAATTTTGCAAATCTAAATTATTTGAAAACCAAGGCTGCCCTATATGAAAAAAAATCAGTAATAATAATAAATTGAGACAAATAAAAATAAGAATGTGTAAATAAACAAATGCTGACATTAAAAATTGCAGTGTCTCTTCACATCAGTGAGGTTACATGCCCATTTATACTGGTGGTCAGTTTAGTGTTTCCCTACACTTGTAATTAGTGCAGTGTCCTCTTACATTTGGTGGTCAGTGGAAGAAGTCTTTTCTTGCATTAGTGGACAGTGGGAGAAGGCGCCCTATTACGCTAATAGTCAGTGGAAATATTTACCCCAACATTTTTAATCAGTGAGAATACCCTCCTACTGACAGCTGAAAAGATCATTGGTATCAGTGGGAATTTATCCTAGGGAGTAGAATTGATCACTGCTCAAGGAACTCCTTGTAACCTCAGGAGGAACCCTGGTAAAAAAAGATGGGATTAAATAAACGTAAGTCTTGCTTACTTTTTTTTTTGTTCCAGTCCCCTGGGGTATATTGTACATAGAGCACATTTTATCTTTCCATATTTTAGAGAAGTTGAGATCCCATGGTTGACAGTGCTCCCGCCACTTTTCAACCACACATTATCAAAGATACTATATGTAATAAGGCATGAATGATGGTGCTTGCTTCCGACAGCAGGCACACACTGGCAGTCATTCTGCACAGCATAGGGGAAGGGTCAGCTCTATTCCTAACACAAGCCACTAGGAAAAGATCATTCAGTGCTGGTGGAACTTTGTGGCTGTTTATTAGCAGTTCTAAGATCAATCACACAGCCCCACTAGCTCTGACCGATCTTTTACTCTTGTGAATGAACATTCAGTGCTGGCAAGGCTGTGTGAAAGATCTGCTGACTGCTAGAAAACATACACTGGATCAGCAGATAGATCATACATCTCTGCCAGCACTGGTCTATCTGCCAGTGCAGTGGATGTTTGCTACACAGCCCCAAGAGCACTGACTGATTATTCACTGGTAGAAAACATTCCCCTTCCCATACAATAGTAAAGGATCAGTCAGCACTGGGTTGTGAATGGACAGATATCAGAATGTACACAAAATTAGAATCTTAAAGAGGGGACGTTGTCTAGTGCTCTATTTCCCACATAGGAACACGCATACATTGAGCTTCAGCCTGGGTTGGAGCTACTTCACAGTACAAACAGGGCTTTTAATGCACAACGGGTTACGGATCAGAATGGGACCATGTGCTACTTACACCTGTGCTATGGGGGATTCAGAAAGGGTTTTTAAGTCATTGCGATAATTTGTTTTTAATCAAGAATGTTAAATCACCTATTGCTTACCTCTTCACATCTCTTCACCTAATATACAGTATATCTACATTTTTAGGTTTCCTTGCTTGGTTGGCTGTAATATAAGATTCCATATTGTTAGATCTCTTTTTGCTGCAAACTCCATAGCTGCTTTTGAATCAGGAACTTAAATGGAATGTACAGTTATATGATATTTGTAATGAAAAAAGTCTGGTGTGAATAATGTTATCAATGTAAATTGGTGTTTTTATAAAAGGTTATAATGTATTGTTTTTAATTCAATGTGTTTCTGGAGGCAGTCATATTTCTTATTATATTCTGATGCTCCCCTTCCTACTTTGATGTACTAGATAATGGCTTTGGTGTTTTGCTCCTTTTCACAATGCAAGTCATTGGGTTTGGTGACTTATTGATGAGTGAAAATACAGAGAAAGAACACAGTAATTAATTTTAAATTTTCTATATTTAACACACACAGTTATGGAAGAACTAACTAAAATGTAAAAACTACTGCCATAATAACCAAAAATAGATTCTCACTGGAATTAAATTATACTTTCCTCTCAACTGTATGTAGACTTTATTCTGTGCAGCCAAGGTTCTGCCAGTCATTGCAATCAAGTCTTGACTTTGCTCTGAATTTCAAGTACTGCGCCTTCATCCTGCCACTAGTCAGATGAGTGTCTCCCCATTTGTGTTCTAAATGAAGTGGTGGTATGTGTATATGGTATACCTGGTATTGTCTAATGATGTAGATAAGCATTGAAACTGGACCTATGACAAGTAGAAGAGCTAGTTATTGTTATCAGTTCTTCATTTGAATGATTTATGAATCTGTATTGAATAGCAAATGGTTTTGTTTAATCCAATGTTTTCAGTTTTCCAATCTGCTCTAGAAATATAAAAGAGAACTATTTGATTTATCTTATAGGTTGTATTGGGCAAAACAGTTCCTATTTCAAACACTGATATAGGGCCTTTAGTTTTGTATAATTGATATGCGTATAATGTATTTTTTGCTTTTAGGGTGGCCTTGCTTTCAAAGGTGAACGTGGTCCATCTGGAGACCCTGGACTTCCTGGCCTCCCAGGAGATAGAGGTCCTATAGGTCCTCCTGGCTTTGGTCCTCCTGGTCCCGTTGGTGAGAAAGGAGTTCAGGGAGTATCCGGTCGTCCAGGAGCCCCTGGAGCTCCAGGTAATTGGTTTCCAAAGTACTGAAACTGATACAGCAGTTTAGTGCAAATAGGTACTGTATCTAGTAGCAACCAGAGATCAGCTTTTAGCAGATTTTTTGTGTATGCTTATAAAGAGGATTTCTGATTATTTACTGTGTGTTTGCCTTTTGCTAATTTCCTCCCCCTTTACTTCCTCTCTTTTTATTACCTGTTTACGTGCCCCCTCACTCACACCAAGCATTATGTCTGGTGTTCCTCAATAAAATGTTCAGTTAGTGCAGTGCATGTGGAGAGATGGTTTAAGACAATCCTCCATAGCAAAGCTGCTAAAAGGCAACTGCTAAAGGCCAGAGTGCAGTTCCCACTTCTGCTGATTCAGCAAGGATTGGCCAAAATTCAAGCTGTGTATGGCCAGCATAAATGTCAGAATACAACGATCATTGTTGTCAGCTATAGCCAGTGGCACTGGCCCAGCTGGTTGAAAAGAAGTCAATCAAGAGATTAACTTCTGTACAACCAGCCTGCCCATAGATGGACTGAAATATGGCCAGTCCCTGCTGCAAATTTTCGATCCATCTATGGCTGACTTAACATGTGCAGGTAATAATTACCTCTTGACAGTGACTGTGACTGTATTGATGGGGGAATCAAGCAATTTTCAGGTGTAAGGAAAGGAAATTGCATAATCTATGGCTTGCCTAAGAAACTTTAAAGACAGTATCTGGTGGCAGGAGTAACAGGATGTGAGCCCAGTGGTTGAAAGTTGTGGTGAGTCATATAAATATTATGAAAACGGGCACTTTGAAATATACATCCCCTGCTATATTTTTAACCTTTTGAGTCCCCTGAAAAGAGTTATATATTTGTTTTTTCAACCCAACCCCTTGATAATTTACATGTTTGTTTGATGTGTCCGTAAGACTTATTATTTTTATTATATTACAAGGTATTAAAGGACCACCTGGTCAGACTGTAACAGAGAAAGGAATACAAGGGCCCAAAGGTTCTCCTGGGAACACAGGTCCTCCAGGAACACCAGGTATGAAAAACTACAGTTTTCTTTCTATTGTATTTGTGTGCCTGGGAGTGGGGGCTGAATTGTTTGTTATTGTAGAATATTTTTATTGAGACTATACATACCCTTTTTAGTTATATTGTATGGTTATTACTGTCATATTGTACAGGTGTCCTATAAGAGTCCCTGTTGGACTGCACACTCTTCTAGTTAGTAATCTGCTTAGAGATAGATGATAGCTGTGTGTTTCCGTGGCTACAAAGAGTCTTATGATTATTCTTCAGAACACTACTCTTTTTTTATCTCTTCATGTTTATTAAGTGATGACTCATCTGGTTGTGTGCACATGAACACTTGTTGGATGTATAATGTTAATGCTGCGTAAGGTAGAACTAGTCAAGTGAATTGGTAATACAATGGTGTGGGGCAACCTTGATATACAGCATTTGTACTGTAGACACAGAATAATTAACAATATTTACACTTTCACTTAGATTTAATAACAGCTGTCTGTTCTTAGGTGAACCTGGTCAACCTGGACAACCTGGTCTTCCAGGGCTTACTGGAATGAAGGGAGATCCTGGGATACCAGGCACTGGTCTTCCAGGGCCAGCAGGGCCAAAAGGTAATAAATATATGAAGAATGTAGGATGATTCTGTTTAGCATTAAGCAATCTTTTTTGTAAAGTTTCAAATAAATTAATTATAGTATAAACTAAATTTCTTTTGAAAATGTGAATCATGCATACGTCTTGTTGCTTAGGGTTTCCTGGATCTCCTGGTCCACCAGGCCCACCAGGGACACCAGGAAAAGCTGGATTAGATGGAACACCAGGTCAGCCAGGATTTCCGGGGCAAAAGGTAAAAAGATACTGTGAAATTTCCTAAGTAAAGGGCTACTTCACACTCTAGCTGATTGTGCTATGTAGCCTAATATCTTTTCTACAAATAGAGCTTGATTATAAGACAGCCACATAACATTTTTATGTACCACTGTGCATCCAATAATACTGTACTTTGAAATTGTTTGTAAATGTTAACGCCTACTTAACTGTCAAATTGTATAATCATGGGGTGATTTCTTGTTTTGAATTTTTTCCTAGGGTGACAGCATTCACTCAGTTTGCTGTATCATCTGTTTCCTTTTCTTCATAGAGGGGAGAGGTTCTGGTGTCCTCAGAAATAGCTAGAAACAACATAACTGATAAAGGCAGAGAGCACATGACCAAAAAAGTGAAGTTTGTTTTTAAGGTTTATAAATGTTAAGAAACACATTCCTCTACCAGCATGTGTAATACTTGCTTCTCCAGATGTTGTAGCCTTGAAAATTGTGTTTGCATAGTAGGCTGCGCGGGTTGTTACTGCATATAAAACGTAGGTTTATAGAGTGGTTTTCTAAGACTAGATTCAATTTGTTTTCTTAAACTATGTTTTCACAAATTATGCATCTTAAATGCATAGTCTATTTAAAATATATGTATGTATGTATAGCCATCACAAAGAAAGTTTGGTTACACTATTAGTTTTTTTATAAGAGTAATGGTGAAAACTTAAATTCATTTTACCCCTTTGCTGTTTTGTTCTCTAAAAGGGTGATCCTGGATTTGGGTTGCCGGGTCCTTCAGGCTCCCCAGGAACACCTGGATTAAAGGGATCACAAGGACCAAAAGGAGATTCTGGCTTTCCAGGAATGCCAGGGGCACCAGGACGAGCAGGGTTTGATGGAACTCCTGGACCAAAGGGTACAAAATAAAATAGTTTATGCTTAGATTAAAGTAGTAATAAACCCCCAGTGTTTATTAACTTAATACATTGAGCACAATAAAAGAAACATTGCCAAATTACCTATTTGTTAACAATCTTACCCCAGCACTTACAGTTTACAATTTTCAGTGCTGCTGGCTCTTGCACTCTTGCTGCTTCCCTAAACTTCCGGTCTTCACAGGAGAGAACTAACATTGGACAGTGCATGCAGCCTCCACCCAGCCTGTTGGTTTGGAGAAGGGAGGAGCAGGAGAGTGATTTGCCATCCTAGGCTACAAGGCAGTGTGTTTCTATTAATGCATACAGTGTAGAGCGACACAGCTCCAGTCTCTTTATGCAAGGATGGCTCCATGGAAGTGAAAGGAGCCACCCTGAACAGAAAATCTGGGGCAGTGATCGTAGCACCAGCTTAAACTGGAACATAGACAAGGATTAAAAGATAAAGAAGTTGCATACTCAGTAAGTGATTAAATCAGCTTCTGAAAGTGCTTAAAAAACTGAGGGTTTAATATCACTGTAATCCTTAGTGATGTGAATTGTATAGAGTTTAATCATGGCTTTCAATATATTGTTTAAGTATCTTTTGTACTTTTTTTGTTCAGAAATATATAAACATATAAATAACCTTTGGGATTCACTGTAAACTATGTTTAAGAAAAATACTGTGTGTTTCTGAATTAGCTTTGTAGAAAGCCCAGACAGACCCTTAAATGATAAGTTCACCTTTAGTAACATGTTACGCCCATATTTAAGGTGTTGCATGTACCATTTTACTCACTGAGCAGCCCCCCCCCCCCCCACCCGGTCCCCGTTGTAACAGCGGGCCGGGTATCTTCTGGCCACATCTGCTGTCACAGTTTTTTTAAAATGTGGTAGTTCTCAATGAACTACCAGGGCACTGATGAGCTCTCTAGGCAGTTCATTGATCCTTCCTGTCATTCAGTAATTGCCTGCCCGTGTGAGGTTAGAGCAGATAGCTACATTGACAGTCTGCTGATCGCGGGTGCAGTGCTTTTCAGACTCCTATTAAAAAAATAATAAATGCACCTTTTTTTTTACCTGCAAAAGATGTGCATTCAGTATTTTTTAAAAAGGTGAACTTATCCTTTAATATTACAAGTTTGGGACTCTTTCAAAGATGATATTCATTAACTGGGTATTCCACTTTAATTCAAAATGACAATATTGTTCATAGCAGCAGCATCATGGTGGCAGTACCCAATATTCTATCCAGTGTAGAACACACTAGAAGCTGTAAGGAAAAGGCCACATCTGCACATTTAAAATTAAAATCATAGTGTGGTAATTTTAAAGGATTCTAGGCTGTTTGCCTAGTATAGCTAGTAAGTAAGGTGATGCTGTATTCACATAAAGTGAAGCTGTGTTCATGTTGAATACCCAGGTTTTATTTTCTAGCACATGAATGGGTATTCAGTGTGAACACAGTTTTACCTTATTCACTAACATTCACTTTACAAAGACTCTGTTCCTCTAGTAAATCAACCCCACTGGGTACATGAATGTTGATCAACATAACCCAGCCATGATTTTTTCTAAATCTACCTGCCAAATATACTTTAAAGAAGGTTCATGTCCAAGTGCATTACACAGTTTGGAGTATAATAGCTATGCCATTAATTTAAAGCAGTCGTTCAGAGGATGTTTTGTAAAGAGACTGCGTTGTTTTTTTTTTTAGGTGATCCTGGGCAAAATGGACAGTCAGGGCCTCCAGGACCACAAGGATTGCCAGGTGCTGGGGGTCAAGGTCCTCCAGGTTCTCCAGGGCTACCTGGACCTGCGGGTCCTCCAGGTAAGTCATGGGGCATAATTGTTTTCATTTATCCATGTACCTAACTTAAAAAATGACTGGTCACTAGTTTTGCGGCTGCTTGCTGTCTGGTCCTGTATGTCAAATAAAGATCTACATAGATGTCTATGGCAATGACAGATCAGCAACCAGCAGGATTTGGAAGAGTAAGTAACTGATGTGCTACCATTAGATTTCTGCATCACTGTATCAGCGAAACACTGGTCTCATAACACCCCCAGACACATTGCATCACCATTACATACTTTATTACAACTGAGCAAAAAATAATGTATAAAAGTTTAGTTCATAAACACTTAGGTGATCTGGTCATATTCAGAATCAGGATTACAGAAGTTTCTTGAATACTGAAAAAAGATTAAATGTGTAGATTTTTCACATTCTTTTTTCTCCACAGATGTTATAATTTATTTATATTGAATTACATGATATCTTGTCTTTATTGCACTTTTTCACTATGACTGTAATCGGCTATGCTGTTTAAAGGGACTTTGACACTTGGCATTAACTTGCACCATACTGACCAGAAGATATCACATTCATTATCAGGTTGCTGAAGATATCACATTAATGACCAGTTTACTAAAAACTTCCTGAATTGAATATTACCAATAAAAAATAATTTGAGTCTTAGTTACCAAAAAGCTCTGTTCTATCAACAAATCAGCCAGTCAGGGTTTCCTTATTTTTTCTGAAGGCCTAAAGTTGTCATTAACAGTCTGATAGCAGTGCTTATACACAGTAGAGCTGTGGGTATAGCATCTATAAAGTATGAACACATACATTTTACTGAAAATGTTTTTATGCCTACAGTTGCTACTAATGGACCTCTCATACCAAGCTAAATATTATTTACTTAAATGAACAAAAAAGACAGTGTTGCACTGAAAGTTCTGATTCAAAAAGCAATTTTTAAGTGTCACAGTGTCTTTAAACACTTTATTTAAAATAACATGGTACAAGCTGTCCACATGTACTTCAATTACTGCATTCAATGTCATTATCAGGTTCGGTTAAAACATCATTGTGATTGGGCGCATTCTTGACACCTGTACCATGTGAATAAATAAAACTTTGTACCTGTGTATTATTTTACTGGTTATGTATACTAATATTCACTGAAAGCTGGTTAATAGACATCCACCACTGCTGAATTAAAATGGAACACTTTGTATGTACCACCATCTTTTATGTCAGTCCATTATGCCTGGTGCATGTTAGCTACATTCATGAATTCAACAATACTGATAACATGCACCTATAGTTACTTAGCATGAAACACACAGCTGACATGTCATGTGGTCACTGAGCGCCGCACCAGCTGCTTCACTTGCTTCACACACACACTGCTATAATTAATCGCTGGCTGGTTAATTCAAGCTTTGTGAATGTTTGTAACTAACTGCATGATAATAAACATTATGCATGCCTAAAACATAACTAATTTAATCATGTGTTGTGTTCTGCACACTGTTTATAAAAAAAAATAAAACCTCTGACATCTGAAGAAATTAATGTCAAACAAATCAACCCTGTATAGCTTGTTCCTTAAAAATGCACTACTATTAAGTATGCTTTGTTGTCCGACTGCAATTAATTCCCAAAACATCATACATGTTAAATAGTATCAAACACTTGCAGGCATGTATTTTAATGGGCATGCATCGTAATTGTTTGGTTTTAATTGACATATCGGACAATCATTAAAATCAAATATGAATACAGCTTTTCCTTGAGATGTCAGTGTTTTTATAAATTGCTGGGTTTTTTGTATATACCCACTACTAATATTCACTAGATGTATGACAGTGTCCTCCTAGGCGATATCTTTTTATCTGATGTATGATCATACATTTGTTGGTATGTTAGGTAGCAGGACGCTAGTAAAATACAGCAGGTGCCTTTATCTTCACATTGACCTACTATATATACAATGTTGACTGCTACATAGGAGCAAACTAATATTGATAAGGTTTACAATAAAATTGTAATAGTCAGACCAAAATCTTGGAAATATTTGGTGTCAGATTTACATTATTACAGCCTATAAAGTTAGAATATTTGGCTGTTTAAGCTCTGTCCTATCTAAGGGACCCATCTATTTAAAGTGGTTGTAAAGGCTTGAGGTTTTGTACCTTCAAGCATTCTATGCATGAAGGTAAAAAACCTTCTGTGTACAGCAGCCCCCCTAACACTTACTTGAGCCTCATCGCGATCCAGCATGTGCACAAAAGCCTGGGCTCTCAGAGGACTCTCCCTCCTTATTGGCTGAGACAGCAGAGGAAGCCATTGTCTCCCACTGCTGTCAGTCACAGCCAGTGAGGAGAGAGGCAGGGTGGCGCTGGGCCCCTGCTCTGTGTGTGAATGGACACGAAGAGCAGCGGCTCGGGAGTGAGCCTGCTTGGATGTCCCTATAACAAGTTGCTTGCTCTGGGGGCAGTCGGCAGCAGGGAGGGGCCAGGAGCGCTGGCGGGGGATCTGAGTAAATTGGGGCTGTGCTATGCAAAACCACTGCACAAAGCAGGTAACTATAACATGATTGTAATTTTTTTTTATTGCCTTTAAGGTCACTTTAATGTAGATTATTTTTCTTGGCAGAAACAACTGTCTCCAACAGCTCCGAGCGTTATAAACAAGTGAAAGCCTGAATAAGTGAGATAGATAAAATACAGTTTATGTAACACTTTAATAGAAACACAAAGGCAATTTAAAAGTACGGTGTTCTGCAATTCAAACAATAAAAAAGTACATTGATATTATTATTACAGGTACTTATAAACGCCATCAATTTACACAGTGCTTTACATATATATTGTACATTCACATCAGTCCCTAACCCTCAAGGGGCGCACAATCTAATATACACCTTTATGGATCCATAAACAAGAAAGAGAAAAAAGGAAAGACAAAGAAGTGAGAAAAAATCAGGGAACTGACAGTTCAATAGGCAGACTCCATACTTATAGACAACCAATACTCCCTATTGTATACAGTGCTTCCTAATTGATATGATTATTGTAAATGGTATTGTTCATCCACTGCCGGTCAGGTTTCGTATTTAGCTGATTGCTGGATTGCAGTTAGCTTAACTCCAGCAAGAAAAAAAGGCACACAGCAATGTAGTAATGCCTTATACAGCAGCACCCAGACTGGGAGCAAGACTGGGAGAGGGAGGGGCAAGACATGTGTACTGCGTGTAAATGTACTGACAAGGAACATGGTGATAGGAGAGAGCAGAGAGGTCATTATCATCAGCTACTCTTTCCCGGTCCAGTGACAGTGAGGGTGCTGCGTAGATCTCAGCACTCAATGGGCAGAAATACAAATCATTTGGCAGGTAAAACACCTCCCATATATGTATTGTGTCTGTATATTTTTGTTGCTTGGCTGGAGTTCAGCCATGATGCAAAGTATAAAATTAGTGGGGATGTTGGAAAATATTTTGTACAATTTCCATTCACATATCATTAAATTCATTCCCCTCTTACCTTCCCCATAAAACCAGCAGTGGCCAGACTGATATAGTATAGAGTGAAGCAATATTAGGATAAGCACAGAATTTTAACATCGCAATATATCCCAAAAGACATACTGAAGTGCACGCCAAAGACGATATTTACTGCCAAAATAAGGCAAGAGTTTTTCGATTGTCATTGTTTGGTAGCAATTTTTTTCATTCTCTCCTTTTTCTGTAGTCTTGTGTTGTACTTATTCATGGATCTGTATTGGTTTACAAACTATCAATGTGCATATTTATTCTTGTTTAAATCAGAGAGCACTGTGCTTTTTAAATATTCTCTTTTTCATTGATAGTGTTATAGACCATTTTATGCATACAATTTCCTCTTCCTCATGGAATTGTTCCCCTCTGTAGTACTTGAAGGCACTGGAAGACAGTTGTGTTATTTTATATATACACTATATTGCCAAAAGTATTTAGACACCCCTCCAAATCATTGGATTCAGGTGTTCCAATCACCTCCATGGCTGCAGGTGTATAAAATCAAGCAGATAGGCATGCAGACTGCTTCTACAAACATTTGTAAAAGAATGGGTTGCTCTCAGGAGCTCAGTGAATTCAAGTGTGGGGCCGTGATAGTTTGCCACTTATGCAAGTCCGTCTGTGAAATTTCCTTGCTACTAAATATTCCACAGTCAACTGTTAGTGGTATTATAACAAAGTGGAAGCAACTGGGAACAACAGCAACTCAGCCACAAAGTGGTAGGCCACGTAAAATGACAGACTGGGGTCAGCGCATGCTGAAGCTCACAGTGCGCAGAAGTCGTCAACTGTCTGCAGAGTCAATAGCTAAAGATCTCCAAAGTTCGTATGGCCTTCAGATTAGCACAACAACAGTGCATAGAGAGCTTCATGGAATGGGTTTCCATGGCCGAGCAGCTGCATCAAGGCCTTACATCACCAAGTGCAATGCAAAGCGTCAGATGCAATGGTGTTGTAAAGCACATCGCCACTGGACTCTAGAGCAGTGGAGACGTATTCTCTGGAGTGATGAAGCACGCTTCTCTGGCAATCCGTTGATCTTGTCTGGGTTGGGCGATTGCCAGGAGAACAGTACTTGCCTGACTGCATTGTGCAAAGTGTAAGGTTTGGTGGAGGGGGGGGATTATGGTGTGGGGTTGTTTTTCAGGGGTTGGGCTTGGCCCCTTAGTTCCAGTGAAGGGAACTCTTAAGGTGTCAACATACCAAGACATTTTAGGCAATGTCATGCTCCCAACTTTGTGGGAACAGTTTGGGGATGGCTTGTTCCTGTTCCAACATGACTGCGCACCAGTGCACAAAGCAAGGTCCATAAAGACATGGATGATGGATGAATGAGCGAGTTTGGGGTGGAGGAACTTGACTGGCCTGCACACAGTCCCGACCTCAACCTGATAGAACACCTTTGAACGAATTAGAGCAAAGACTATGAGCCAGGCCTTCTCATCTGACATCAGTACCTGACCTCACAAATGCGCTTCTGGTCAAGCATTCCCATAGACACACTCCTAAACCTTTTGGACAGCCTTCCCAGAAGAGTTGAAGCTGTTATAGCTGCAAAGGGTGGGCCAACTCAAAATTGAACACTACGGACAAAGACTGGGATGCCATTAAAGTTCATGGGTCGGTGTCCCAATACTTCTGGCAATATAGTGTAGGTGGATGGCTCATGTTTTCACATGAATAGACTGTATTCTTTAGTAAAGTCTGCAGGCCTAAAGTGGTTCTAAAGCTTAAACACGTTTTACCTTAATGCATTCCTTGCATTAAGGTAAACAATGTTTAGGTAGCAGTAGCACCCCCTCACCCCCCCCCCCCCCCCCTTATACTTTTCTGAGTCCTCACTTGATTTAGCATTGTGCCCAGCTACAGTCTTCTCTCCTCTCTCCATCTTCACCAGGAGCTGACAGGCAGCAGTGGGAACCATTGGCTGCTGCTGCTGTCAGACAAAACTCAGTGAGGAGGGAGCTGAAGGTGGGGCTGCTCTGTCTGTGTCTGTGGACACAGGCAGCGAGGCTCGGGATTGAGCCTGCAGAAGAGGAGGTGCCAGGATGGCCAAATCCACAAAGCAGGCATAAACTTGTTTGTTATTAAAAAAAGACTTTACAATCACTTTAATCTGTTTTAATACATATTTTACAAGTTGCTTTTGTGAAAATAGTGGTCCTAGAGAATTGTCAAAACAGGAGCCTATCAAATAGTCAATAGTTATTCAGGTTATATATTTAGATTAATGGGATATCCTAGCAAAACATCTTTTAGATACACCAATATCTGGAATATAGCAGTCATGACAGTCTTTTTCAAAGCTTCTCATGGGAAACTTGGTTCAGATGTCTAAATAAAACAGATTTTGTCTTGAACAACTCAATAATAATGTAAGTGGAGGGTGTTAGTGACATAATAATTATTTATGGTCTTTAGCTACACCTCGTTACCTGTTTAGAGTAGATTAAAGGTATTAGTGGTAGTGGTGAGAGAAAAATCGAAAATTATACTTTTAATGGTAAACTGAATTGCAAAAATCTGAACTATAGGACAAATAGCCCTGCTTATCTAAATAATCAGAAGAGATTGTACAGTATGTACTTTAGGTATATGTTATTTTTCTTTCTCTTATTAACTTTTTTCTTTTGTAACATGTGTGTGCTTAATTTTTTATCTTAACCTAACAACTTCCTCACAACATATTTTGCAACTCATTTCTGCTTGACGCCTCCCGATGATCCTAAACCTGATGATTTGTGACCCAAGGTCCACCAGGTACTGTGGTTGGTTCTCCAGTCTAATATCTTTCTAAGACTGTTTAGTAAATAACAACCAATTAACCCATGTACAAGGCGAGCGTGAACACCAAATAACATACCTGAGCTTATTTATGTGGCCAGTATGGACAGATTGGTAGGATACACATTTGATGTAATTTTGACAAATCTTAAACTGCATGTATGGCCAAAGGTTTTTTCTATTTTTGATAGATTAGGAAAGGATTAGAGCCTCTGTCATGTTTTTATTGCTTTCTGTGTGAAATTCACCCTATTTGTCCTGGTGATCATTGTTATCAGGACAGAAGGTGACAGGAAAACCAACATTTTACAGTTGTCACCAGCACAAGAGGTGATGGTTAGCCAGTGTAGACACCTGTTATTGTGACAACTGGGGGAATTTCCTCTCACTTTATATTGTGTGTCAAAGAAATGAAATTAAAGGAATCTCCCCAGTGGGACAGCAAATATATCAAAATAGCAAAAATATACTGACTGGGGTTTTACCCTTGCCTACGCTATCCAAAACAGAAAACGTTGGCCTGTACAACTATATTAAGCCAAATATCTATGAAATGGATCTCTCTGTGATAACACTAAGGAGTCCCACCTCCTGCTACTCCCATGTGATCAGCAGCTGCTCTTTATTTTGTTGGCAGGCTGAAGTTAGATTATACAGAAATGATTGACTCTATCATACTCTATATTAATTCTCAGGTTATATGTAATTGCTATACCCTTTTTAATTAAATGAGAAACCTGCAGGTTACTGGACATCTTGGTGTTATTATGGTAGGTTTTAAGTCATCTGGGGTAATACAGCATGGTACATACATAAAAGGCTCCTCTACTGATATAGTTACAACACAGTAAAATCAATGTACAAAAAAAAATCAATCAACAAAAAAATGTAGCCTAAGGCTACAAGCAAGTAGTAACAACCCTAAAAAACATATTTTTATTTTTTTCTGTACGTGATACAGGACTTGTATTCATAGATCATAGGTTCTATGCTTCCATCTTCAGGCGTTTGGACACTGGAAAAAACTTTCATGAGGCAGCCCCTTGATTGTACTCATGTAAGCCCACCCAGTATATATATAGAAGTATGTATAGAAGTATTGTTGTTTTAAACCATAGAAATTGTTTTCATGTGAAACTTCTATCATCACCTGTACTACCTAGCAGTTTTTCGGATTGGGTACCCTAGGTTTTTTTTTTTTTTTTTTTTAGTGTTGGATTTTTCTTCCTTTCCACTGTGGACACAGTAATTGATGCAATGTGCACTAGCCTTTGCCTTGTTCTCCACAGCCAATACAGACCCTATGGGTACTAAGAGCTTGGCTAAATCTAAAAGGACTTTTCTCATACACATCCAGATTGACTCCTCCTAAGCTTTTTACTGATATTTATCCTATGGAAAAGGAATTTAAAAATCAGGTTTTTTGTTACTCACCGTAAAATCCCTTTCTCTGAGTTCATTGAGGAATGGCATATAACCCATGGCCTATGAATACAAGTCTTGTGTCCTGTACTGTACTCCAAGACAAGGAATTTACAGGTAAGTCAAAATTCCTGCTTTTGTAGCAGTCTACAATGTTGGCTAGAACTAGCTGCTATCGAGAATCAGCTCTTACTGTAAAGAACACTTTCCATATGCACAGGTGAAACCCTTAATTTGCAGTGACCTTAACAATTTTCATAAAATTAACTATATAGGCATTTTATGTATTTATACAAAGTGATTTTATCCTCCCTAAATTGCCTCTAATCAAGGGAAATACTTTTAGGCCAGTCCTTGTGGCTGATGTCCTCTTTGCTTTTTCTCATGTCTCCTTATTTCCATATACAGAATATAAAATAAATGGGAATTCTTTTGACTAGAGTAAAAATCCTCTTATAATGGTGTTAGGTGGGGAATGTAGTTGTTAACTTAGCTGGAGAAGTATTAATGCTGGAATACCTTTGTTAGGTGAGGAATGGAGTTGGAAACTTAAATGGAGAAGTCTTAGTGTTGGAAAACCTTTGTCTTTTATGTGAAGATGTGTGTGCTTAGCATCAATCGATCTTTCTATATTTATTTTTATGGTTTGTTAATAATTCCGTTACACTTGACATGCTAGTGAACTACTGGCCTGGCAAAATCCCTGAACATAGAAGGAGCACATTTTGTGTAAAAAGTGTTTTGTTATGTACAATAGTAAAATATAGATACAGTAAGGTAAATTTTGCATTTCATTACAGTTCCTGTCACTGCCAAAAATACTCTCTTTTATAATATTTTGCTTCAGCCAGATTCCCAAAGCCAGGTTTTATAGTGGTTTATGTATTTTTTACCTAAGTTAGAAGTATTTGTAAGTGGAGAATTTGATATTTAGTATGTAAGCCAAAAGGACTGATAGTTTGAAGTTTATTGTGATTTTTGAAACGTTCTAAATTTCAGGAAATATTGTTTTAAAACATGAACCTGTTTATAAACATATATTATTTGCTTTGTCCCCTTCTTTATGAATTCACTTTGTAACATATCCAATTGCTGTACAGGATTACCAGGTATACAAGGTGATAAAGGAGACACTGGTCCTCCAGGATTTGAATATCCTGGGCCACAGGGAGAACGTGGTAGTCCTGGATTTCCTGGAGAACGTGGCTTTCCAGGACCCTCAGGGCCACCTGGATTCCAAGGTCGTGATGGGGTACCAGGCACTAAAGGTAAGCAATGTTTGTGTCTTTATATTACTGAAATCTGTTAATCGTAGCATTGTAACATCGTAGCAAGATAAGAGTTTGTTTATGTTCTTTACAAATAGACAATCAAAAATGTTTCCCTTAAACCAGTGGTTAATTAGGACATTTTCAAAATTAAAAATGGGGATGGAAGTTGGTGAAGCTTAGCCTTGAAGTAAATGATAGCCTGGCCCCAGTAACTAAGTAAAATGAATCACAGAGAGGAACAGATGAGACTTTTGTGGGTATTAAAGTTATTTGAAAACATCTTGTGGTGATGTCCCAACTCTCTTCTAGGTGGTATTTATTGGTTTTCTGTTCATTCTGTTTGGTAATTTATTTGGGCAAATTGGGACAGGCATCCCGTTTTTCTATATGGGCAATACTACATTATACTCTCATTTCCCAGTGATAAGGCATTGAAATCACAGAACGTCTGAAACCTAGAGGTGATGAAAGGAAAATAATATTTCGTGCCTACAGTACTTAAAGCAAAATTCTACATGAGACCTCTGCCTTGAAAAAAATGTTAATATAGGACATGGGGTTCTAAAATGTCTTCCTATAGTTATCAAATACATTTTGTGACAGGAAACAAGCAGTTCTGTATTAGAGAGGAAGAATTATGAGCACATAATTATTTGAACAAAACTCCTAGACTCCTATCTGAAAATTTGATTTTTTTTTTACAAACTGAAAAAGAAAAATGAAGAAAGGATTTCTAAGTGGATACATTTTAAAGAAAAGAAAATACTGTAAACACTGTAATTGTTAAAAAATAGAGGATACGCCGGGAGAATGGGATATTGTGGCTACATCCTAACAACTTAAGTGATATATTGTCTTATTTACTCTAGTAAATAAACAAAAGAGTATCTACGATATAAAGCCAATACATTTTTGGATGTCATTGTTTAATGCTCATGTCCTATATTTTTCGGTTCATGTTTCTTGTATACCTTTTCAGAACATTTCAATGTCCTTATTTTCAGTTTCTTGCTTCACACAGGTACAAAGGGTGAAATGGGAGTAATGGGACCACCTGGACCAACAGGACCTCCCGGTAACCCAGGAAATCCTGGTTTTTCAGGTCCAAAAGGTAAAATAATCACTATTTAAACAGCTGATCCCAGAAACACCACAAATTAATCTCAAAAGCTGGCTGAGTACACCAAAATGTAAGCTGCATTTGGCTGACACAAGCCCTGACACATACAAAAAATATTTACAAATTCCTGGGTGAATGTATTATTTAAACTTTCTTGGTCTTGAAAATTGGTAATACTCCTTAGCTAAATATGGCAGTGTTTACATTTGCAGTAATGACAAAATATTTGATGTTCCGGGCATAAAATCATTGATTTTTACACTATATGTCCTGTAGAAAGTCCTCAAAAGGAATCCTCAAAACAATCCGTGATTCTGTAGTGTCTTCTGATGTGTATGACCAAACCGTTAAGTGAGGTCATACAGGCTTGTGTCCCTTTAATTGGGCTCAGAATAGGACAAATGGATAAATCCCTTTATCCCAGATGGATGGATGAATGGAGTTTTTTCTTTTTACCAGCAAGGGGTCTCGTCATTGTCAAGAGATCCTTTTCCTGGGAATGGATGGATGGAGTTATCCCTCTTCCCTCTAGGAGGTCTCTTGGCCCCTTTCAGACTTTTTCCTCCGTATATGTGTGTTCCCAAAAATCAAAGCAGCTTTCATCCTCTTCCTCACCTAGCCTCTAATTTGCATCTTTCTTAGCCCCCTAAGAAAGATGCAAATTAGAGGCTAGGGGAGGAAGAGGATGAAAGCTGCTTTGATTTTTGGGAACACACATATATGGAGGAAAAAGTCTGAAAGGAGCCAAGAGACCTCCTAGAGGGAAGAGGGATAACTCCATCCATCCATACTTAGGAAAAGAATCTCTTGACAATGACGAGACCGCATGCTGGAAGAAAGAAAAACTCCATTCATCCATCCATCCATCTGGGATACAGGGATTTAGCCATTTGTCCTATTCTGAGCCCAATTAAAGGGACACAAGCCTGTATGACCTCACTTAACGGTTTGGTCATACACATCAGAAGAAACTGTAGAATCACGGATTGTTTTGAGGACTTTATATGTGAAGATATGCATGCATTACTAGTGTGATTGATAATATCACGTTATGGAAATATAGTAGTAATCAGTTTATTGTTTTGCACTAATTGATTTTTGTGTATATTGTTAGTGGAGCGCAATAGAAAATGTTTTTTTAATTTGATAAAGACACATTTGTATTAGTATGTGTATAGTGCAGGTGACCCATTGCTTCAATTTATATATGTATTAGTTCAGTCACTAGATAATATTTTAATTTTAATTGATCAAATAATTTAAATATACCATAGTAGCTCACAAGAATCACACTTACAAACAGGCAGAGTGTCTGTCTCTGTCCATTGTGTAGCCTATTTGCTGTTGTAGACACCCTTTATGAATTCCCCTGACTGAGTGTAGTAGGTTACAAATTCATTACATTTTCTGTCTATCTTTCTAATTATTTCTCTTGTTTGTGGCCACTTCCTGTAATAGCGATAGTCAGAGATACTGCCTGCAAGAACAGCCTTTCAGTATGCCTTCTAGCTTTAAATACACTTCAGGGATGTAAATAAACCATTGGGGCCATGCCTATGTAATCTGAAATTCCCAACTGACTTTTTTATGCTTTCTATTGGTAAAAATTCAAAAACACACCTGAATCATGTATCCTCAAGTTGTCCCTCACACTTCAGAAAAGCAAGGTGACATTCTTGGTAATATAGTCTGCGAAATTGGTTATATGGTGTATGAGAAGTATCGTAAGCCTCATTATAACCTCAGAGCAATAGGTTCTACTTGAAGTTCAAGGGCTGTTTGGAAACTGTGATGAGTTAGTTTGCATCTAAGAAACAGCATTGGCTATATGAAATGGGCTGAATTTTATAGTTAAAGCTGAACTCTAGGCAGATATAAAGGACAACAATATTGCAGCTCTGCTTTCATTGTTATATCATGAAATGTATTTTATAAGTTCAGGCAGTGTAAGTACCTTCATTTGTCCTTAATTTAAGAAACACCTCAAAGAGCAAATGAGTGTGTACAGTGCTCATTATCTAACAAGGAATTTGCTGATAGGATAAGTAAGTAGAGCAACGGATAAATCAGCTTTGGGAGGGCAATACCTATAAATGTTACTCTCTACTGCACTAGAGAAAACTAAGGTCTCTTGAAATGCCATACACAGCTAAATCTCACTGTGTGTAAATAATCTTTTAGACACAAATATGCATTAGTGTAACCCCAGCAATGGTATACCTTTTCCTTTCTCAGGTCTTGATGGATTTCCTGGGCAGCCTGGCTTAAATGGCAATCCTGGGTTTAAGGGTGACAAGGGAGAGCGTGGTCTTATGGGCCCACCAGGAAATGTTATTGGAGGAGGTCTTGGAAGTAAAGGAAGTAAAGGAGAGCCTGGGAAAGATGGTAATTCTAGATGTTATCATTATATTCTTTTTAATTTTTAGATATACTGTATATGTTATTGTGATCAAGTAAAATATATGAATTGTTGGAAAAGGTTAATATTTTACTGTACATTTCTGATGTAGCCCCTACTTTGATGACATAGATAATGTTAAAGTTTCTGTTATTTTTTAAGGTGCACCTGGATTAAATGGAGAAAAAGGCTACAGTGGTATGCCTGGTAATCCAGGAACACCAGGTCAGAGTGGACCCCCTGGGCCTCCAGGTTTATCTGGTTGGTATCTTATTCTTTTCTTAAAAGGAATGTATATATCTTTTATTTGTTCACTAGTATCTTTTTGTTAGTGGGGCAAAAAAGTAATATTGCAGTGGTTGTAAAGGTAAAAGTTTTTTTCACCCTAAAGTTTTACTAAACCCACAAGAGTAAAATCAGTCTGTATATGCAGTAAATCATGCTTGTTATACTCACTGTGGAACCTAAGGGTTAATCCTCCACCATGTGTAAAAAAGGCTGATCCTCCCATTCTACTGTTCCCAATCCATCGGCTGATAGTACAGAGCTCTAGGAGTCACTTTGCACATGCTCAGTTTAATGTGTATGGCTAAAGAGTTTTTTTTTCTTTGGAAGGGTGCATGTGATCAGCACAGGGCCAATCAGCAATGTCCAGACAGAGGGTCAGGGGTTATGTAGCCTCCTAGGACAGTCAGAGGAGAATGAAAACTCCTCCTACAAGCTTAACCAGAGCTCAGCTGGATGCTGAAAGAAGTCACAAGACTGCTATATACTGCTGATGAGAAAATGTATTTAGCAGTTGATATTTACTAAAATAATTGCATTTCCATGTTGTATCTGTGGGAGACCAGATATAGCGAATGCAGGGTCATGGGTTTAGTAACACGTTAATGCATTCTCTGCATCAAAGTAAAAAACCTTTTAAGAGTCGCTTCCTCCGCAGCTAGTCCTAAATATATACCTGAGCCCGATCTTGGTCTAGCTTCCCTCGGCTCACACAGGCCTGGCTGCTGTCAATCAAAACCAGTGAGCAGAGAGTGGGGGCGGGGGGCCGTGCTGCGCTGGACTGTGTGTCTGAATAGACACAAGCAGCTCAGCTTGGGAGCGAGCCTGCACAAGTGACGACCACAGGAAACAGCTTCCTATGGTAGGCACTCAGTGGGGAGAGGAGCCCGAGTCCCAGCTGGGGACCCGAGAAGAGGAGGATTGGGGCTGCTCTGTGCAAAACCATTGCACAGAGCAGGTAAGTATGATATATTTGTTATTTTAATTTTAAAAAAACCTGAAGCTTTAATGTCACTTTAACTTCTTTATTGCTCATCAAGGGACACAGGGTCAGATGGAATTCTGAGATTACTGGTTTATACTGCCACCTTCAGAAGAAGATGGCAACAAAAAAAAAAATGTTGACCAGCCAGTATGACCCCTCACACTCCCATCATGTTTCAGGGAAACCATTTTTCTTGATATATTTTTTGTCAAGGTATTTTCATTATGATCAAGATACCTTTTTTGCAGAGCCCTGAGAGCTCATTTTGTAGTTTTCCAGATCCGCTGATCCTAGGTGCTGCCTTGGTGGCTGTATCCAGACCTAGCTATGATGAAGATGCTAGAACTGCTGGTAGAGTGGCCTTTCGAGATGGACTCTGCTTGTTGCTCTTTCCAGGCATCTAATGTTGCTTAGCATTTTAGAGGTCCAGGGAAGGATAACCCACTGGCGTAATCCTGTCCCTCAGCACTCCCTTGGGAGTATGTCCATTGAAGGGATGAACACTGTCTGGGTTGAGACCTATCTTACTGGGTCTTGCACTGGTACTTTCTGCTATCTTGCTGCTGTTTTCTGCAGGGTTCTCTCCAGATCACCACTCCTGTTGTATTCCTGTAAGGGGCTAAAGTTCTGATGATTCTTTGCTGCTACACTTGTATATGTCATCACCACTTAGTGTGTAGAGGTGCAGCAACATTTTTAACACATGCAGCACATGTCTGGCAATGTACTACTTGGTCTCCTACTATTTTCACAGTCGGCTCATCACTGCTGTCTACTGTGCCTTTGTCAAGCAGAATTGTGAGTACTCTTCTGGCAAATTCTCACTCCTACATGCTAAGCAGTATTGAAAATCATAAGTGCAAAGGAAGCAGTCCTTCTGGCCTGTTCAGGTCACGATCCACTAACAGTACCATGACAACTTGTAGTGTCTCTTCTCAAGGACTTGATGCCAACAGTCTAGATTGTCATTCCCTGCTTGAGTCCACACACTTTCTTCCAATTCCAACTGGCATGGCTCCCTCCTCTGCATTATCCAGAGAGGAATGTTCTGTGGATATGTCAAGCTTTATAGTGCACAATGACTACCATGGTAGCTGACTCAGAACAGAGCGGTCAGAAGTGTAATTATACACCTTCTCTTTCAGGGTTTTTTATAACAACTGGTCCATTCCTGCTAGGCCATCTTTGCCTCCAAAGCAATTTTCTGAGCAATACCCTGTAGAAGAAGTGCTTCCATTGTAGACTGATCATTCCCGTTTAGGACATTCTAGTATTTAAAGACCACTTAGACAAAAGACTAGAAACTCTTTCCAAGTCTTTAGTTCCCCCTGACAGGCCCTACCTTGCAACCTGTCTTTGCTGTAATGTCCTTTTGCCAAATATTGAGGGTACTGACTAGCATATGACTAATGTACCCAATTAAACCCTAAATGACCATTCAGTTTTAAACAAATAGAACTCATTCCTGCTACCCTACTGTACAGTGTTGACAAGATTATGTCTTATATCCAGGATGAGTCCCCTGTCTGTGCATATATGGGGGATACTTTGGCTAAAATGTTAGTATGAAGAACAAGAATGCAAAAAAAGTTTACTGCGTATGCCCTTTGATGGAGGACATATCTTTGGTGCCTCCCTGGACAACTTTATCGAAGATGCCACTGTGAAGGAAAGAGTACCTTTTTTGCTCTAACAAAAAGAAATGCCAAAAGAAATTCAAGCCCCAGAAAAATGTACAGACATGGAACATACAGTGAGCATAGTGAGGGAAAGAAAGCCAGAGGGGAAGAGGAAGTGCAAGAGAGGGATAGAGAGAGTGAGAATGGCGAGAGAGAGGCAGAGAGAAAGATCAATAGGAGTGAGAGGGGGAGAAAGAGCAAGAAAAGGAGAAAAGAATTAGCAAGAGGGGAGAAATGAAAGCAAAGTGAGGAGAGAATGGATAGAGTTGGGGGGGGGGGGGGTCAGAATCACTGAAATAAAGACTGGGAGCAGAAATATGAAAGTGCAATGTCTTCTGTTAGAATGGGAAGTCTGGGGACCAGGGATTCAGCTAATCAGAGAAAGGAATGCCTTGTGCACTAGCTAGTCTCTCAGCCCAGGTGTAATCAGTATGGGCAGGGAACATGACCCCCAAAACATTTTACATTGTGCAAGTATGCATGCTTTCCATTCCAAAGTTCTGCATCCAGTCAAAGCAGAGAGTGCATGCTTTCTACCAGAAGCTTGAAACTTCTTAACCCTAGCTCCATGCAGGGAAGGACAGAGATGCAGACATCAGACTTCTTCTAAGTCCCTACTGTACTGTGTCCTCCTTTCTTGCCCACTTTGATTCAGCATCTTCTTCTTTTTAGTCGATGGTCGTCTTAGGAGGGGCAGGGTTACAGCTACCATTGGGTGAGTGAGCAGAGGGAGGTGGAAGAACTGTAGCTATAGTTGCCTCACTCATGTTCATTATCGGTGGCGCTACACAGTGCAGGCTGACGCCTTCTTTCCTGATATGTGTTGCTGCATCTGCTGGCAGTACAGAGTCAGTGTATATACGAACACTTATTTTCATCACAGCCATTCATGAACAAAAGTAAAAATCATGGACTGAATTAAATATTTGAATTAACTGATGGTGGGCAACCCTGAGCATCAACCACCAGTTTCCCAGATTTACAAGGCTGCCATATGGTCTTTTGTTCACACATTCTCTGTATTTCCAGGTGGGTGTTCAGACCTTCCTGAACCCTCCTTCTGACCCATCGAATGATAAATAAAACAGGAATTTTGACTTACCGTAAAATAATTTTCTTGGAGTTCATTTAAAGACAAAGGTCCCTCCTTCTTATGATCACTCTTGCTACGTAACTTTGGCACAAATTAAAGTATAATGGGAGTGTCCCTTAATGAACTTCAAGAAAGGGATATAAAGTAAATAAAAAATTCATGCAATTTTGTAGTTTTCCTTCCATCCCTGGTGGGGTTCTAATTTACTTTTTAAATCAGCTCTGTTGAAAGAGCACTGAAGGTTACAGGAAAAATGACAGAAGCAGAAAGCAGGGAGGAGGTGCGAGCTGTGCTATGCTCTCGCTCCTGTCCTAAGACAGTAGAAGAGAAGGGGTCGCTTATACATCAGGCTGTACACTGACTGTACCCGCCCCCTACCCCCATGTTCTGCTGCTGGGAGATAGTTTGCAGGTAAAGTAAGAGTGTGTGCACTATCCAATCTAATAGTGATCCCTTCTCATCTGCTGTATAGAGGAGCTCTCTAATGACCGGGTGGGAGAGCATAGCATAGCTCACATCTCCTCACAGCTCTTGGAGAGTTGGGGAGTGGACCTCATGGCAGGGGAATTGTATACAATGGGGGGGTTATGCTAGAAGGGGAGATTGGGGGGAGGGGGAGGGGGGTTTGGACGAACAGGGACTGTGGGGGAATTTGGGCTAAGAGGGGTATGTGAGCTTGGAGGGGGAATTTGTGTTAGGAGGGAAAGATTTGTGCTATAAGGGGTTATGGGGGGGGTTCTGTTAGGAGGGGGATTTGTGCTAGGACAGTGGTTCTTAACCTGGGTTCGATCAAACCCCAGGGGTTCGGTGAGTCAGTCTCGCGGGTTCGGCGGAGGTGAAGACCCACACCCGACTCATATGATTCGTGCAGTAAATATACATTATTATGTTTTTGTTTTTGTGTGAAAATCATGTTTTAATGGTCTTTGTTCTTAATGGTTTTGTTCATTTTGTGCACCTATGTATAAATATATACCTAAATATATACCTATGTTTTGAATTTTAAAAATCATATTTTATTTTTCCAATTAAAAAGGGTTCGGTGAATGCGCATATGAAACTGGTGGGGTTCAGTACCTCCAACAAGGTTAAGAACCACTGTGCTAGGAGGAGGCATTTATGCTAGGAGGGGGGATTTGTGGGAGAAGATTTGTTCTGGGAGGGGGGATTTTTAGAGAGAACTTGTGCTGTGAGGTTGATTGATTTGGCTGTGAGGATTTTTTGCTGGGAGGGGGGATGAGGGGGAATTGGTGTAAGAGGGGGAATGGAGGAGTTGAGCTAGGAAGGTGTGGGGGGATTGGGGCTAAGAGGGGGAATTTGTGCTAAGAGGAGGGATTGGGGGGATTTATGCTGGGGGGGGGGGGTATGTGGGAGAGGATTTGTGCTGGCAGGGGAGATTTTGAGAGAGGAATTGTACTGGGAGGAAATTGATTTGGGGGTAAGGATTTCTGCTGCAAGGGGGGATGAGGAGGAATTGGTTTAAGAGGGAGATTGGGGGGGATAAGCTAGGAAGGGGTGGGGGATTTGGGCTAAAGGGGGATTTGAGCTAGGAGGGGGAGATTAATGCTAGGAAGGGGAATTTGGGCGGGAGGATTTGTACTGGGCAGAGGGATTTGCGGGTAAGGATTTGTGCTAGGATGAGAAATTTGAGGAGAAAGAGGCTGTGTGTGTGTGGGGGGGGGGGTGATTTTTGTGGGGTGGGGTTGAGTAGTGCGGGGGGGAAATTGGTGGGATTTGAGCTAAGAGATGGGATGGGAGGGCAAAGATTTGTGCTGAGGGAGGGATATAGAAGGGGAAGAGGAGGAATTTTTGCATTTTTGTTTGGGGAGAATTATAGCTTGCAGAGGTGATGTTTGCTTAGGGGGTGAGCGTGCTGATATAAGTGTTGTTTTTTCATGCTGAGACATGATGTTCACACATGGGGGGCGCAGTTTGTCATCTTCCCCGTAAGCGCTAGATAACCTTTACAGACACAGCCACCATCTACACAATGTATAGCTGGCGGCTATATTACAGTTCTAACCTGTGAAATTCCATGATTAGAATGGCAGTGTAGCTGTAGTAGCAAGCTACACATGATGCAGATCAGTCTGTGTGGTGTTTATGGAGGAGATCTGCTGAGTGCCCAGGCGGCGAGCAGTGTAGGGAAGGAGGAGCTCTGCTGAGTGCTCCGCCAGACGTGCTCATGTTCTTCCTTTCTGCCTTTCCCTGTTCTCTTACCTGTGTTCTGTCCTGCTGACCCTTGTCCTCTGTCCTACTGACCCCTTTTTTCTACCCCGCTGACCCCTATCCTCTGCCTTACTGACCGCCTGTACTCTGTCCTACTGACTCTTGTACATTGCCCTACATCTCATCCTCTGCCCTTCTGACCCACTGCACACTGCCCTGCTGCCTCCTATACTCTGCTTTGATAACCACCTGTACACTCCCCTACAAACTACTGACCCTATCCTCTGCTGCCCTGTTGACCTCGCATCCTCTGCCCCCCTGACATTTTTTACTGCACCCCACAGCAGACAGGCTAGATCCGGCCCTGCAACAAAATATATTTCATAGCACGCTTACCAGCAAGCCAGCAGAAACAAAAAATGACAATGTCTAGCAACTTTAAAACAGAAGTTTTAGTTGCACAACATTTGCACATATTATATGTGGAAGCCACACTGCCTTGTCAAGGCAGCATTTATAGTATGATCCTAAGTCTAATCTATAAGAGTTTCCATGTTGTAACATATACAGTTAGGTCCATATATATTTGGACATAGGCACAATTTTAGATTTTTAGACAAGTGAATCAAATGCTGTTTCATGGCCAGGTGTGGGCTACTCCTCCGTTATTTCTTCATCAGTTAAGTTAAGCAGGTAAAAGGTCTGGAGTTGATTCTAAGTGTGGTATTTGCATTTGGAATCTAGTGCTGTGAAGGAGCTGTCATGAAAGTGAAACAGGCCATTATAAGGCTTCAAAAATGAAACAAATCCATCAGAGAGATAGCAGCAACATTAAGAGTGGCCAAATCAACAGTTTGGTACATTCTGAGGAAAGAACAACGCACTGGTGAACTCAGCAACATAAAAAGGCATGGAAGTTCAACAGTGGTGGATGACTGCAGGATCCCCTCTATGGTAAAGAAAAACCCATTGACAACATCCAGACAAGTGAAGGACACTCTACAGGAGATGGGTGTATCATTGTCAAAGTCTACAATCAAGAGAAGACTTCACGAGCGCAAATACAGAGGGTTCACCACAATGTGCAAACCATTCATAAGCCTGAAGAATAGAAAAGCCAGATTAGTCGTTGCCAAAAAAAATCTAAAAAAGGCAGACCAGTTCTGTAAAAGTATTCTTTGGATGGATGAAACTAAGATTAATCTGTACCAGAATTATGAGAAGAAAAAAGTGTGGAGAAGGCTTGGAACAGCTCGTGATCCAAAGCACACAACGTCATTTTTAAAACATGGTGGAGGCAGTGTGATGGCATGCATGGCTTCCAGTGGCACTGGGTCATTGGTGTTTATTGATGATTTGACAGAAGACAGAAACAGCCAGATGAATTCTGCAGTGTTTAGAAATATACTGTCAGCCCAGATTCATCCAAATGCAGCAAAGTTGATTGGACGGCACTTCACAGTACAGATGGACAATGATCCAAAATACACTGCAAAAGCAGTGAAGGAAAAGAAGTGGAATATTCTGCAAAGGCTGAGTCAATCACCTGATCTCAACTCAATTGAGCATGCATTTCACTTACTGAAGGCAAAACTAAAGGCAGAAAGACCCACAAACGAAGAAAAACTGAAGACAGCTGCAGTTTGAGCCTGGCAAAGCATCAGAAAGGAGGAAACCCAGTCTTTGGTAATGTTCATGGGTTCCAGACTTCAGGCAGTCATTGCCAGTAAACGATTCTCAACAAAATATTAAAAATTAACACATTTATTCATGATTATATTCATTTGTCCAATAACATTTGAGCCTCTGTAAATGGAGAGACTATGTATAAAAATATTTGCAGTTCCTACAGTTTATACCCCTTGAATTAAAGCTGAAAGTCTGCACTTCACATTCATTTGGATTGTTTCATTTTAATGTATTCTGGTGGCATACAGAGCCAAAAGTATGAACATTGTGCCTGTGTCCAAATATATATGGACCTAACTGTATATCAATGGATAAATTAGGAGCAGCTACGTCTGGAGGGAGCTTTCTCCTGCTTAAAGGTGCAGGGAAACACCAAAAGCCCAGCAGAGCACAATGGCAACTGAAAGCATCAAATCCCCTCGCCATAGTGAATATGTTTTACAGAATTCAAGAAATTAAATGTGTGTGGATATTCACAAAGTAAGTCTGCAAACTTCAAGATTGTTCAGATTAATAGTAGCAGTTTAGAAATAATTGAAATTCAATTTGAAAATTAATACATGATTTTACATTTTGACCATAGATATGATTTATTGAGTCAGAACAGTAGTGACTCATCCCTTATCAGACAGCTGAATCCAAAGTTTCTATCAAACATGGGGAGCTGCAAAGCAAGTTGCTTTGTTGTCTCTATTGTTGTCTCTACTCTGGAAACCTTTTTTGATTTATTAAAATAGTAAAACAACAAATGTGTACAGATTGAAGCAATACAGAAGCTCATTACATGTTTTACTCTTTTTGGTCACAACAGTGTACAGAATGTGGTATAAATCTTCCTGGCTGCAGGTTGTCTGACTTTAAATATACTTGAAATAAAAATTAAATGTTCCTGTCCATCAAGCCTCTGTTTGCAAGACTGCAATGCTTCAGATGTTGTCAGCTGCTGCTAATAAAGACTTGTGTTTTCAACCTTTATTGAGGCCACAGGGTTCAAGCATCAGGATGACCGTACACATTGTACACAAACTCTATTCAATCTCCTTTAAATTTACCAAAAATGTATATTATGAGGACAAATCTTGACAACTCATTCAATTCATATCCAATGTGCAGACTTTTTCGGTGTAGCTTCAGCTGTATATGGCAGGTAGTGTTCCATTATTGTTTGTGACTGGTCCCTGTCTTTAGCTTGGCTCTTCTCTGCACTATACAGGCCAGCCAGTGAGTAGCTGCATTTTATTACATCTGGTGTATAGGGACCTATTGACTTTTTTTATGCAAAAAGCAGAGTGTTTTAATTTGAAGGTGTATGTATCTCTGAATATTTTTTCCTCATTGGTATCAGATACAAGTCAGCCTGAGGCCAACAGGCACAGTGAAATTGTTTTTCTATACAGGTTCATTCATAGGCTTATCGCCTTTTGTAAGGATCTGCATTGCCTGATTATTATTCTGAATATGAACACCAGGTCTTGTTATAAGAGGCTCACTATTCATGCAATCTTCCAACAGACTCTGCTAGACATTGTGGAGGAACCTACTAGGAAAAAGATAATGGTTGCAAAGCTACAAATTATTAATTATTATACAGTGTTTTGGAATGTGGTGCACAATTCATGCATCCACATGATCTAAGTAAATAGTTGTTACTTGCTACTGTGCATCCAATGACTCCATCTTGGAATCCCACAATGCCTCATGGGTCCTATGTGGTATAAAAAACTGCCCTAATTATGGCACAACACAAATTAGCATGAATCCATAGTTGTATGTTTAGAAATATTGAGCAGAAATGTAATTTTAATAAAATATGTCTTTTATATTCAAAGGGTCTAAAGGAGATGCTGGCTTTCCTGGGCAACCTGGATTACCTGGGTCTTCTGGACCAAAAGGGAACATGGGAGAGATGGGACTTCCTGGTAGGTGTATTTTGATGTATGTGTATTGTAATGCAGAGCTTCAAGATATATTCACAAAAATGCTGGAATTAATAAATATATTGTTTTAAAAGGGCTGAACTTCTTACTTTTTCTTGGGAAAAGAGATGCTCTAGGCTTCCTTCAGTGCCCAACTATGCATTGGGTCACAAAATCTCTTCTAAGGAGGATGGTTTGATCTATGCTACTTTAGCAGAGATAACATTGCACTGAAGCACCTGGAGCAGGGTTTTCTCCTGGAAAAATAAGTATTTAATTATTTCTACAGTACTATTCTTTCTTCATGACTTGCATTAGGATTACTAATAGAGTTAGGTATTTGATCAAAATAAAGAACATCGGACAAAAATATAAGTTAACAAATCTAATATTAAAGCAAAGTCAGTTTCATCTTTTATATATTGTTAATAAGAAGTACGGTAGTTACGCTGTAGCATTGTTACAGCTATATCTTAGCTTACAAATTCTTTGTTTCAGTCACTGGATACTTGAACATGTGTTTCATTACCTGTTACTGTGATATTAAACACTGCTTCATGCAACTTTTGCATTACAGGACCTTCAGGTGAAAAGGGCTTTCCTGGACAGTCAGGGCGTCCTGGATCGCCGGGATCTCCAGGATTTAGTGGAGCTAAAGGTGAAAAAGGTGAACCAGCACTTTCAGGCTTTGGAACCCCTGGCTTACCAGGACAGAAGGTATTCATTTAGTGCTGCCTTTTTATATACAAAATACTGTAATATGTTAATCATGCTTAGGTTAAGTTAAAAGTTCCATTTCAATGCCAACAGGCAAGCTGATTTTTGGCCTCCCATTGCAGGCCTAAAAAATGATCTGATATTTTTCTGCTGCAGTTAAGCAACACTTATGGTTTTTGTCACTTCCAATGCCAGTTAATGGGCAATAAAAGGAAAAGAAGCAGACTAATTAGGTTATTTGTCTGCAATTCGGCACTCTCCTCCTATTAGCATGTTCCTTGCTAGCGCAAGAGCATTGAAGCACAGCTGACTCGCTCCTTGTGCTGCTTCCCACTTTACCTGTCTGAGTTGTGCGGCACAGTGACTGAGGCTGATACCAAGTCAAATAGAGGTGCTTACACTGCTTTAAAAATACACTTAATAATGTATTAATAAATGCAGAGCTTCATTATTATGTAGCTTCTATATATAAAATTCAGCTGATTATCTTAACGTAATTGAACAATCCAAAGCTGTCTTAAAGGGTCTGGGTTACAAAGAAACCTAAGTCCCCTCCTTCAATTCCTTTGCTCATTTTTGCTAATGTTAAATATATTGACTATTATCATTTGTCTTTAAAGGGTGAACCTGGGCCAGCAGGTTTTCCTGGCAATCCTGGAAGTAAAGGAGAAGCAGGAAGCCCTGGATTACCGGGACTACCAGGTGGCTCAGGCCCTAAAGGAGATCCAGGTTCCCCAGGATTTTCAGGTAAATTAACACTTATTTAAATACGTGTTTTCACGTGTTTAAAATTTTAAACAATTTTCACAGTTTAAACAATTTTCACGTGTTTAAAATTATTTATTTGTTATTGGTATTTATATAGCTCTGACAATTTACACAGCATATTACATATGTATGTATATACTGTATATTGTACATTCAACTTACTCTCTGCCCTCAATGACCTTACAACTTAAGATCCCTAGCTCATATTGGGATAATATGATTAGTTAATAGTGATGGTGTGACCCTCCTGCGCTCCAAGTGTATATTTAAAAAATTAAATAAATCAATTAAATATGTGTATAAATCCCAAAGAGAGCTGCTAGCATTGAATCATATACCAGTGATTAAGTAAATATAAAACATAAGGAATGCTGCGCTACATTCAAATCAAACAAAATGTGAATGTGGGATCCCAAAATATTAAATAAAAAAATGTGACAATGTTATCAAAACAGGTCTATACGTGCTTACTGATAATAACATAAATCAATTAAATAGCTCAAAAACGTGAGAACACAAAAAACAATATCTATATATATGTGCATAAACCAAAAAAACACACATATATAATGTAATCACACGTGCCTATTGTGAAGTGAAAAATAACCATAATAATGGTACACACAAACTTATATCTCAAAGTCCAAAATATAAATATTGTTGGTGAACCAAACAGTAAACGGTGCTTCCAAATTGTACTGTTAGTGACCACAGGTGAAAACTCGTGCAGGTTTCTGGGTGTATACAGATCTGCGAATCCAACCACCATCTGAATTAGCCTCTCACCTTATCCCTTCGACCCTTGCGGATCAAAGAGCAGTAGTGGATCCCTCTCACAGATCCTCCAGGCATCAAAACACTCCAAAGACAGTTTTCTCAGAGTATAATATTCCCACTATGGCTCTTCTCCAGGAAAAGTTGTAATATCAATCTCTCAAAATGAGACAAAGGAATCCTCCCATAGTGTAGTATATTTAATTATACCATAGGAACATGTAGCATATTTACATTGAAACTTACGTAGCAGCCAGTCCAAGAACAAACCTCATGCTTTCAGATGAGGATATATCTGTTGGGTGTACAGCTGCATGCACAGGTGTACCAAGATGGCCGCCACGCCGGAAATACGTCACCGCGTTAAGCCGACGCGTTGCGTCACAGTGTCATGTGACTTCATCAGAGCCCTGATGAAGTCACATGACACTGTGACGCAACGCGTCGGCTTAACGCGGTGACGTATTTCCGGCGTGGTGGCCATCTTGGTACACCTGTGCATGCAGCTGTACACCCAACAGATATATCCTCATCTGAAAGCATGAGGTTTGTTCTTGGACTGGCTGCTACGTAAGTTTCAATGTAAATATGCTACATGTTCCTATGGTATAATTAAATATACTACACTATGGGAGGATTCCTTTGTCTCATTTTGAGAGATTGATATTACAACTTTTCCTGGAGAAGAGCCATAGTGGGAATATTATACTCTGAGAAAACTGTCTTTGGAGTGTTTTGATGCCTGGAGGATCTGTGAGAGGGATCCACTACTGCTCTTTGATCCACAAGGGTCGAAGGGATAAGGTGAGAGGCTAATTCAGATGGTGGTTGGATTCGCAGATCTGTATACACCCAGAAACCTGCACGAGTTTTCACCTGTGGTCACTAACAGTACAATTTGAAAGCACCGTTTACTGTTTGGTTCACCAACAATATTTATATTTTGGACTTTGAGATATAAGTTTGTGTGTACCATTATTATGGTTATTTTTCACTTCACAATAGGCACGTGTGATTACATTATATATGTGTGTTTTTTTTTGGTTTATGCACATATATATAGATATTGTTTTTTGTGTTCTCACATGTTTTTGAGCTATTTATTTGATTTATGTTATTATCAGTAAGCACGTATAGACCTGTTTTGATAACATTGTCACATTTTTTTATTTAATATTTTGGGATCCCACTTTCACATTTTGTTTGATTTGAATGTAGCGCAGCATTCCTTATGTTTTATGATTAGTTAATAATTTTTTTTTAGCAGCATGAGTTCTCTGAGGTCTGCTGAAAAGCATATCTATCACCAAGAATTGTAAAGTTGTGGTTGTTTTACAGTAATTTGAAACGGATTTGACAGATTTATATTACCCTAATAAACTTTTTGGGGGCCTAAAACATGGATCTTTTGGCCATGTTTAAAATCCATTTGCTGGACACTTTATATGAGAATCTACTTCTTTATGCAAATCAAAATTATCTTGGAATACAATTAAGAGTTTAACAACCATATAATTGCAGAAGACCAAACAGAACTCAGATTTCTAATATGAATCATCTTATCTATAATATAACTGAAATGAACAGATTCATCTCCAAAAGTTCCCATACCTTCAAATGAAAGTGCGATGAAGGCATGTAGTGTTCATTATTTTGGTGGGCAAGAATTACACAGGTTCAGCTTTATATGATCAAATGTTGGCACAGTTCTTGCATAAAACCTACTAAACTAATAGCTTGTCATCACTATTGTTTGTTTTTTGTTTTTGTTTAGGTTCTCCTGGTCTTCCAGGGTCTAAAGGACTTGATGGACCTCCAGGGAACCCTGGGACTTCAGGCCCACCAGGACCAAGGGGTAGGAAACTGCTGACACATAGGGCATTGTTATATTTTAGTAATTCATATGCTGTTGATATACATTATCAGGAGTCACAGCGCTAGGCATGCTAGATTATGGACTCCAATATCTGAATATATTGGACATATATATTGGACATCCTGTATGTGAAAATAATTTTTTTAATTTTGATAATTGTAACCAATTAGATTGTCTATTGAATAAATTATTTGGTTGCTATGGGCAACAATAGCTATTCTACATGTAGATAAATGTTTGAAATATGTCACTTTCTTAGTGAAAACTGTGCACAAATATCAAGTACAGTAAAACAAAAAATAATAGCAGCAAACACAAACAAGAAGATATCCCTTCTAATGTATACAATTAAAATATAACTGTGTTGTGCTAAACAATTGCAAACAGAAATAATCTGCAGTGAATATACAGTTAGGTCCATATATATTTGGAAACAGGCACAATTTTAGATTTTTCAGGTATTTACCAAAACATATTCAAGCTATAGTTCTATAATGGATATGGGCTGAAAATGTACACTCTCAGGTTTAATTTGAGGGTATGTACATCCAAATTGGAGGAAGGGTTTAGGAATTACCGTATAGCTCTTAAAAGTAGCCATCCCCCCTTTTTCAAGGGACCAAAAGTAATAGGAGAATGGAATCAAAAGCTGTTTCATGGCCAGGTGTGGGCTACTCCTTCATTATTTCTTCATCATTTAAGCAAGTAAAAGATCTGGAGTTGATTCTAAGTGTGGTATTTGCATTTGGAGTCTATTGCTGTGAACCTACATCATGCTTTCAAAGGAGCTGTCCATGCAAGTGAAACAGGCCATTATAAGGCTTCAAAAACGAACACATCCATCATAGAGTTTGCAGCAACATTAGCAGCCATCCACAGCAGTGTGCTTACAGTGAAGCATACAGACACAGCACAGAGTAAAACAGCACACAGTTAACCCTTTGATCGCCACACGTTAACCCCTTCCTACCCAGTGCCATTAGTACAGTGTCATTGCTTTTTTTTTTTTTAGCACTGATCACTGTATTGGTGTCACTGGGGATGTCAGTGACACCAAGTCAGTTCACCCCAGTGTCAGAATGCCTGCCACTGTCCTGCTATTATTCGCCGATCGCTACCTTTACTACTAAAAATTAAAAGAAAAAATCCCTGTATATATTTCCGTCATTTGTAAACGCTATAAATTTCAGGTAAACCAATTAATTTACACGTATTGGGATTTTTTTTAACAAAGACATGTAACAGAATACATTTTGTCCTAAATTTATGGCAAAATTAGATTTTTAAAATTTTTTACTGGACATGTTTAATAGCAAAAAGTTAAAAATATTGTTTTTTTTCTCAAAATTTTCTGTATTTTTTTTATAGCGAAAAAATAAAAACCGCACAGGTGATCAAATACCACCAAAGGAAAGCTCAATTTGTGGTAAAAAAAGGACTTAAATTTAATTTGTGTGCAGCATTGCATGACCGCGCAATTGTCAGTTAAAGTAACGCAGTGCCGTAACACAAAAAATGGCCTGGTCAGGAAGGGGGGTGTAAGGGACCGCCTGGCGGTACCACTAGCACTCCACTGATTAGGCGTTCCCAGAGCACGGAATCTAAGCCCCAGAGTACTTGTTCACCAGAGCCCCTGATGGTGGGGATGGACTTGGAGTACCCTGAGACCAGGTCGTGGCTCCTGAGTATGCCTGTCAGTGGTAGGGGTATTCGCCAGGGGCTCCCACGGGAAAGAGCCTGATGTGAGGAGGTCGGGAGACCCCGGTGAGATGGATGGATGGATGAGCAAATGCAAAGTCAGACGAGCCGGGTCGGTAACAGTGGGGTCGGTGCGGTACAAAGCAGCGGGCAGAGAATAGTCGGGTCACACGCCAGGTCAGCAACAGGAGGTCAGATCTAATAAGGGGCATCCAGGAGAGAGGTCAGGCAAGCCAGGGGTCAGGGTGGGAGAATACAGCAAGGGTCAGGTCCAATCCGGGTCAGCAACTTACAGAAAACAGGATCACAGGTACAGGTATGCAGAAGAGACCAGAAGGCACTGAATGACAGCTCAGGGCCGTTTAAATATCGCGCCCTGCGCTGTCATTGGTGCCCGGCGCGCGACCGCGGTTCCTACTGCGCATGCGCAAGCCTGAATGCCGTGGTCAGCCAGGAACTGGTGCCCGCGTCCCTGCAGAGAGCGGCGCACTGCGCCTGCGCTGGGACCAGTGCCGCGGGGATCCCTGACATTGCCCCCCCCCTACGGGTAACCTCCGGGTGCCCACCCGATCTCTCCACCACGGGTGATCACGAAGAAACTCCCGGACAAGCCCTAGGTGCATGGACATGTTGGGTAGGTTCCCAGGAGTTGTCCTCTGGACCATAACCCTTCCATTTAATTAGGAACTGGGTCTGACCTCCCCTCCTTCGGCACTTCAGGATTGCTTCTACCTCAAATTCCTCTTGCTCTTCGATAGTTTATGGCCTCCGGAGGTCTGGACTCTCGATCTGGAAAAGGGTCAGGACAACTGTTTCAGCAGGGATACGTGGAACACTGGATGGATCTCGAATGTCTCAGGGAGGATGAGCTCATATGCCACTTCGTTGAACATTCGCTTCACACAGAAAGGGGCCTACAAACTTCGGTCCCAATTTTCTTGACGGACACAACATTTTCACATTTGTCGTTGCCAACCAGACCTTATCCCAGGCTGCAGCACCAGGTCCCCCCTTCGTTTCTTATCAAACGCCTTCTTGTTATCCTCCTGGGCCCTAGCGATGGCCTCCTGCAGTAGTTTTGTTGTTGGAGGAGAAAAATGCAAGTGCGTCTTGTGTTGCTGGGACTGGGCATTCCGAGACCAGATCAGGGAGAAAGACAGGATGAAATCCGTAGTTCGAAAAAAACGGGGATTGCCCCGTTGCTGAATGGTTAGTGTTATTATAGGCAAATTCTGCCAGGGGTAAGAGCGATAGCCAGTTATCCTGTAGGAAGGATGTGTAACAACGCAGGTATTGCTCCAGGGTCTGGTTAGTCCTCTCTGTTTGTCCGTTGGTCTGCGGGTGGAATGCGGAGGAGAGGGATAACTTGATATCCAATGCCTTGCATAGGGCTCTCCAAAATTTAGACGTAAATTGAACCCCTCGGTCAGATACAATGTCTTCTGGGACTCCATGTAGTCTTACAACTTCCTGAATAAAAACTCGTGCAGTTTCGGATGCTGACGGGGTATTCTTCAATGGCAAGAAGTGGGCCATCTTAGATAGTCGATCGATGACCACGAGGATGGCGGTGTGGCCTTGGGACGGAGGGAGCTCGACTATAAAGTCCATTGCGATCCTCTGCCATGGTCATTCGGGGATCGGCAGAGGTCGCAGCAGTCCCCAAGCCTTGCTCCTTGAAGGTTTGTTCCTTTGGCAGAGAGTGCAGGAATTCACATAACGTTTGCAGTCCTTTGCCATGTTCGGCCACCAAAAAGAACGTTGAATAAGCTCCAGGGTCTTTGCTGGACCAAAGTGTCCCGCCATCGGGTGGTCGTGACAATGTCCCAAAACCTGGGTTCGGACCTCTTCAGGCACCACGATCAACCCCTCCTTCCATAGGAGTCCCCCCTTGTTCTGGAGGGACACCCCAGAAAGGGTTGACATAGCCGTGGATGCGTCCATCAGCTTTGACCGTAGGTCTGTCTGGAGGGCCAAGAAGTTCCCTGAGGACAGAATGGTATCGGGAGCTGGTTCTTCCTTGGGGTCCTCGAACATGCGTGACAGCGCGTCAGGTTTTGTGTTCTTGGACCCTGGTCTGTAAGTAATATGAAATGTGAACCTGGAGAAAAACAGTGCCCATCTTGCCTGCCGTGGGCGTAACCGCTTGGCAGTTCTCAGGTACTCGAGGTTCTTATGGTCGGTGAAGATCAAAATAGGGTGTGTGGCACCTTCCAGCAAGTACCTCCATTCTTCTAATGCCGTCTTGATGGCCAACAATTCACGATCGCCAATATCATAATTCTTCTCGGCTGGAGTAAGCTTCCTGGAAAAGAATGCTACGGGATGTAGGAGTTCTTTGGTGCCTCTCCGCTGGGACAGGATGGAGCCCACTGCGTTCTCTGACGCATCTACTTCCAAGATATATGGCAGGGAAGCGTCTGGATGGCCCAGAATGGGTGCCGTAGTAAACAGTTTCTTCAGGGCCTCAAAAGCTCCCTGGGCCTCCGGTGTCCATCGGAAACGGGTTCCAAGCTTGGTTAACTGAGTTATGGGGGAGACCAGACCCGAGAAGTTCCTAATGAATTTCCGATTTGCGAACCCAACAAAACGCTGGACGCCCTTTTTATCCGTGGGCGCAGGCCAATCCAAAATTGCAGAGACCTTCTGAGGGTCCATTGCGACCCCCGTGGTGGAGATAATCAGACCCAAAAATGTGATGCTAGACTGCTCAAAGCTGCACTTGTCAGCCTTGGCATACAACCCATGCTGGCGCAACCTCCTTAATAATTTTGCCACGTGTATCCTATGATCCTTCAACGAGGGTGAAAAGATCAGTATGTCATCTAGGTATACGATTACAAAAATGTCGAGGTAATCCCTGAACACATCGTTCATGAAATGCTGAAATGTGGCTGGGGCATTGCACAGCCCAAATGGCATGACCAGGTATTCAAAGTGCCCAAACCGGGTACGGAATGCCGTCTTCCACTCGTCCCCCTCCCTTATGCGGACCAGGTTATAGGCCCCCCTCAGATCCAATTTAGTAAATATGGCCGCAGACTTCAGGCTCTGAAATAGCTCTGGGACCAGGGGCAAAGGGTAACGATTCTTAATTGTGACTTTGTTTAATTCACGATAATCGATGCAGGGTCTTAGTGATTTGTCTTTTTTCTCCACAAAGAAGATTCCCGCCCCTGCTGGTGACGTGGAGGGGCGGATGAATCCCTTTTGGAGACTATCCTCAATATATTCCTTCAGGGTCCCCAATTCTTGTTCAGATAGGGGGAAAATCCGCCCAAAAGGAATCTCGGCCCCAGGCAACAGGTCGATGGGACAATCATAGGGGCAGTTGGGGGGCAGGATCTCTGCCCCTCGCTTACTGAAAACGTCCAAGAAATCATGATACACTGCGGGAATAACCTGTTTAAGGTCTGAGTCCCCTTCAGAGCATAGCAGGACCTGGGGGGTTGCTGGGCCCGATGTGCGACAGTGTCCCTGACAGTATGTAGAAGGGAACTGTATAGAGCCAGTTTCCCAGTCAATCTGGGGGTTATGGGCCCGCAACCAAGGGAGCCCCAGAATGACTGGGAAAAGGGGTGACGCAATGGCATCTAGGCGGAGGAACTCCTGGTGCTGATTGGCGATTGTGGTGGCGATAAGGGGGGTCTCCTGATTAGCCACTCCAGATTTAATCTGGGAGCCATCTGCCAAAAATATGTAAGACCCCTCTTTCTGGGCTGAAGGGGAATCTCCTGCCGGTGGGCGAAGTCTAAATCCAGAAAACAACTGCACGCCCCCGAGTCAACTATGGCTGTCACCTCCACGATCCTTTCTGGGAGCTGAAAGGAGAGGGGGACAACTAAATACTGGGAGGGACTGATATTGCCAATAGAAAGGGAAGAAAAAGAGGTTGACTTACTCATTTTCAGAGGGCAGGATCGCACCATATGACCGGCTTCGCCACAGTAAAGGCAGAGGTTCAGGGATCTTCTCCGCTGGTGTTCCTCGGGTGATAATTTAGGCCGAGCCAGACCCAGCTGCATTGGTTCCTGAGTGTCTCCGGACGGTGGGCTCTGAGTATTCAGTCTGGTTAGTGGACCGGGCCCTTGGACCGGAGCCCATGCATTTCCGCGACCCTGACTGGACCTCTTAAATCTGCGTTCCCGCAGTCTCCGGTCGATTTGAATTGTCAGCGTAATAAGGTCTTCTAAGGACTCGGGTACCCCTACTCAGGCCAGCTCATCTTTTCATCCTGCGGCCCTGTCTAAGCGTGTATAGCGTCGCTTCGGTGGAGGCTGCCCGCTGTGGGTCATCGTACAAGGTGGCCATTGCCCCAAAAAAGTCATTTACCGTCCCCAGGTGAGGGTCACGGTTTTCCCTTAACCGATGGGCCCAGTCCTGGGGTTCGTCCTGTAATAGGGAGATGATCAATCCCACTTTAACCGATTCAGTCACGAAGGTGCGGGGTTGTAACTCAAAAAATAGGAGGCATGAATCACGAAAAGACCGGAAGCGAGTTCCGGCAAGGGTACTCAGGGTTCTGCCATAGCAGGTGAAGCAGACGCCCCCGTGGCCGGCTCAGCAGCCTCTCCAGCTGGAGGCGCAGAGTCAGAGGCCTGTGGGGTAGGATCAGATACCGAGAGGGTCTGGAAGCGGTTTTCAGATGCATGCACTTGTCCTGCAAGGCCTCCACAGCCTGTGTCAGGGCCGACAGGTGCCTGCAAATCTCTTCCAGCGGGCGCACCCTCCTCCAGGCTCAGTCATGGCCTTCTGGTACTGTAAGGGACCGCCTGGCGGTACCACTAGCACTCCACTGATTAGGCATTCCCAGGGCACGGAATCTAAGCCCCAGAGTACTTGTTCACCAGAGTCCCTGATGGTGGGGATGGACTTGGAGTACCCTGAGACCAGGTTGTGGCTCCTGAGTATGCCTGTCAGTGGTAGGGGTATTCGCCAGGGGCTCCCACGGGGAAGAGCCTGATGTGAGGAGGTCGGGAGACCCCGGTGGGATGGATGAGCAAATGCAAAGTCAGACGAGCCGGGTCGGAAACAGTGGGGTCGGTGCGGTACAAAGCAGTGGCAGAGAATGGTCGGGTCACACGCCAGGTCAGCAACAGGAGGTCAGATCTAATAAGGGGCATCCAGGAGAGAGGTCAGGCAAGCCAGGGGTCAGGGTGGGAGAATACAGTAAGGGTCAGGTCCAATCCGGGTCAGCAACTTACAGAAAACAGGATCACAGGTACAGGTATGCAGAAGAGACCAGAAGGCACTGAATGACAGCTCAGGGCCGTTTAAATATCGCGCCCTGCGCTGTCATTGGTGCCCGGCGCGCGACCGCGGTTCCTACTGCGCATGCGCAAGCCTGAATGCCGCGGTCGGCCAGGAACTGGTGCCCGCGTCCCTGCAGAGAGCGGCGCACTGCGCCTGCGCTGGGACCAGCGCCGTGGGGATCCCTGACATTGGGTAAATCCTCCGGAGAGCAAGTAGTTAATAGATCCTCCAGCAGCCAGCAATAGAAGAACTCTCCCTCAACAGTAGATCACTCTCAGCAACATTTGACCCCCAGCAACATAAGACCCCCCCTGGAACAACATACCCTCATGCTAAAATAGAACCCCTCCAGTGACAATAGATCCCCCAGCAATCAACATCAATAGACCCTCCAGCACACCCCAGCACCCCATGAAATTACATACATTCAGTGCTGGAGGTGCCGGAACTGTGTTTTTACCCGCGTTCCCGTTAAAAAAAAAGCTTTTTGTGGGTATGACAAAATTCCCCACCTCTCACTATATGTAAAGCATTGATGTTTAAAACATAACTTAACTGTGTATGAGCACCAAAAGCACCATATAATTTCTAACCGTGGCCATCTTGAATAAGGGCAAATGACTCGTGTAGAGTTTACTTACTGAAATCCATAGGTCAAGCATGCAGACAGGAGGGTGTGATTATCTGAGAAAATGCCTCCTTCCTTTCTCCAGATGAAAGAAAAAAAAAAAAAAAGAAAACTTTTGGGATGTATGATTTTGGCCTTGAGCCAAAAAAGTTTAAAACAAGACAACATTGGTTTCAACAGAAACCAGTCTATTGACCGGCTTTTGTTGAACAGGCATGCTTGAAAACTAGCATTCAATAAGCTTCCAGCACTGATCAGTGTATACTGGTGGGTGGGTTGCTGTCAGAATACAATGTCTCAGCAAGAGAAATCCCTGCATCAACAGCGCTTGTGCTGATGTAGGGATCTGTCAGTTTTTATTTGTTCAACCTGCCGAAAAAACTGTAAGTGTGTATCCAGCTTAAAGTTTTGCTTTAATTAACAATACGGAAAAACAAAATAAAACAAAACCAGAAGTTACACCTTTACAGTTTTGTTTTGGTTTTAAATATTGGGAAATCAGTTATATATTTACTTCATATGTGCAGATATAAATGTCTCCTAGCTCTCACAAGCTCCATTTCTCTACAAGTAAGCCATTTCCAGGTGAAATGCGTCAGCCTGCGTACAGTGGGAGATGTACTCATTGTTTGATTGAATGACTGACTTTTTGCATTCAGCAGTAATGAGGCTTTATTTCTTTCTATCCTTGATGTAGACATACTTTATGTTAAGAACAGTGACGTATTGTCACAGTTAAGACTGCAGGTCGCCAGGGAGCCCTATCAAAATTTTGCTTTGGGACCTGTTGGCCTGCACTTATGACCCTGTAAAGCTGTGTCCTAATTATATTCAGGTACTGTAAAAAGCAAATAGTAAACTATGTATATAGAGGTACATTTTTTGCTTCATTGATAGCTTTAATGATTTTACTATGCCGTCCTTGTAGGAGAAGTTGGCCGTTCTGGGCCACCAGGAACTCCAGGTGAAAAAGGTCAGCCTGGTCAAGATGGAATTCCTGGACCTGCTGGTCTAAAAGGCGAACCAGGTTTGTGATTATCTGGTGTGATTGCATTTTATTTTATTTCTTCAGCTTTCATAAATGTTAATATCTGTGTTTCAGGATTACCGGGTTTTGGATCACCAGGATTGCCGGGACTTCCTGGGAGTCTAGGTAAAGTTTTTGCATCTTTCATAACTTTAGTGGTTCCTCCACATTAAAGCAGATTTATGCTCAGGCAAACCTCTCTTTCAGACAGCATGAGATAAATCAGTAGTAAATGATGGCAGTACTTAGCATAAAAAAATTTACTGCTGCTACTTTGCATAGGCCCAATTATTTATCCATTTTTTTCAGCGTTTGAAACTGTAATCCCTGTTCCTAGAACCCTCTCCATAGTGACATAGATGTACATTTTTTATACCAATTGTTATTATCACAATAAACTGTGCTAGTGGGTGCCTGTTATACAGACAGGCATTAGAGACTAAGTTTAGGCCTTTTTTATATTCACCAAAGCCTAAGGGCTCATTTACATCATGTGCAGAGACAGCGTTTTTCTGCACCTGTCTCTGCAAGGGCACAAAGAAAACAATTGTTTTCTACCTGCCCTGTTCACACCACAACATTGGCATCGTGCATATTTTTTTACAGGTTTGCAGTTTTGTGCTCAGAAAAAAACTTACATGACTCCAATATTGTGGTGTGAACAGGGTACATAGAAAACAATTGTTTCCTTTGTGCTTTTGCAGAGAACTTTATGTTTCATATTTTCTGTGCAGAAAAAAATATGCACATGATGCCAGTTGTTTTCTAAGTGCCCTTGCAGAGACAGGTGCTGAAAAACGCACATCTCTGCACATGGTGTAAAAGAGGCCTCTAAGCTGTGTTGTAACGTAGTGGTTAGGGTATGTTGTGGTCCAGCAGGATTGTATTTCATTAAGTTCATGTGGCAGTTTTGCAGTGCAAAGCAGTGGATTACCTTGTACTGCTCTGTGCTGGAAAAATTTACTCTTTATTCCTTTTTTTTTTTAAATACATCACCCCAATGCAGTGGTCTGAACTGGGCACAAAGAGACAAGGCATTTTGCCTTGTCGTGTGGTGGGACTATGCTGCAAGAGACACCCAACACAGTCAAACCACATCTGCCGTGAATATACCCCTAGTCTGAGTTGTGTGTCTTAAGCTTGCCGTAGATAGTTCGAATTTCAGCTGGTTCAGTAGGAACAAGCCTAGATTTGAACCATGCATGGGCAGGATCGATCTATCAACTTGGGTACAACCAGCCTGCCGAATTTACCATGCAATTATTACTAGGGGCTGTTATAACTGTTAGCAATAATCAGTGTGTTCTCCCGGCAGGGGGGTGGGAGGAGCTGTCCTCGCCAGGGCAGCACAATGATTATTGCTAATGTCTATAACAGCCGTTAGCAATAATCTCATGGTAAATTTAGTAGGCTAGTTGTATACAAATGGCTCCACGGGAGGGATTCCCCCATCAACACTTACTGATGGGGGGAATCAAGCAACTGTAGCGTTGCTGGAAAGAAATTTGCTCCATCTATGGCCAGCCTTAGTAAGGTCCATGGTTTTGCTAGTAATGTCATATTAAGGTTTAAGTCCTAAATGCATTTATCAGTCATAATCTTCGTAATTAGGAGAACCGTAAAGTTTTATCTCTATTTTTTCTGTAGGTAGTACACATATAGTAATTATGCTTCTGGACATAGGTAATTTTATTTGTGTATAACTTTTAATTCAAATATATTTTTCTTGTGTATTTGCAGGTGCAAAGGGTGAACCAGGAATTTCTGGACCTCCCGGATCACCTGGATTTCCTGGTTTAAAAGGAGACAGTGGTTATCCTGGAAGTCCAGGTAGCCCAGGACAACCAGGACAACCAGGTCTCCCAGGATTTGCCACACCAGGTCCCAAAGGAAATCCTGGACCAGCAGGACCTCCTGGAAGACAAGGTAATGAAATGCTTTATTCACTTTATGTAGAGTTTACTTTTGCTGCCAGCTTTTTAGACATGGAGATCTACTTTAAATTCCAAACATGCAAGCTAAACATTATATAAAACTGATTATAATAAATTTAAAAGTTCTTTCACAGTTACTATTGTCTGACAATTATCTGAACATCAGATTGATAGATTTTTGACAAAAAATCTATTTCAGTTTTTTAATTTTAAAATAATTTTTCATCATATGAAAATGATTTGAATCATTACTTCCTACTCTGAAGAACTAATAGCTGGTAGCAAAATATCGAGCACTGGTTTTCAGCATGATGTCACTGAAATGAGCTAGTGAGCACACAAAATAGCCTTGGCACAGCCGGTGGCAACAGAATTTGTATGTTTATGGTCACCAAGTGAGTCAGCATAGCGAGCACGTGTGTCAGCAAAATTCATTGCCTTGTACACCTTCAAAATCAAAAGAATTGGGGCACTGGAGCATGAGCAAATTTGGACCCCTATCTCTGCGAATTTCATTCCTGCACTCCATCGTCTCCATACCATTGCATTAGATGGCGGAATCCACTGATCATCAGTCTGTCACCTTACATCCTGTACTTGTGAGCGGTGTCTTTGTGTGTCTGTGATTTACTTTATACAAGGAGAATATGACGGATGCTACTGATATTAAGTCATATTTGTGCCAAATAGATCACCTGTTTGTATACCCATATTACCTGGGCAAGGAAAACCCCGATCTGCCCAACCTCTTTCAAACAAAAAAATAAAAAATTAAGCACTGTTATAGATGGATGCAAAAAAGAGAGAGAGGAAAGGAAACATGCATACACTCATAGCATTGAGGTGATGTGCTAATAGTAGTCAGCTCCTTATTGTGTTTATTTCACATATAAGCAACCTGGTCATCTACATTCATACATAACCATCAGTGGCTGAGTTCAGTGAGAATGCTCTAGCACAACCCTGCTCAGTCATGCTCTCCTTGTAAGCCTTGTATTTATTGCATGTATTGTGGGAAAGAACCTTTTGGTATTGTGTATTTGTGCATGTGCTAATGTGGATAAAGCAAGCTATTATCAGTGTTTCACACCAGTCAGCAGATCAATCCTTTGTTCTGCAGGCCCATAGGACATAATGTTAAAATGCATGAGCTACACTTCAGGGTGAAGTCAGGGATTTTGCTCTGTTTACAGAAACTAAAAAAAATTAGAGTAGGATTTATGTAGATGTAAATTCACCGACACAGAGGAATGGTAAAGGAGCCTTTTCCATTCCCAGTGCTTACAGAAACTGCTGCCAAACATTTAAATGACAGCTTATAAACTCACTAGTGCATACTTAGGAAACAAAAACTCTGTTTCAATCTGTCCCCAGAGACACAGTTATTCTCCCATTGGGTGCAGCCATCTTGTTTCATTAACAGCAATTGAGAAGGTCACATCCTGCACCTCAAAAACAGAACAGGTGATGGTTATGTGTTGCTGCTCTCGGCAAGGCAATAGGCCTATATCTGCAGGGAGGTATTAGAGAAAGACGTAACTGTTAATCTTTGGAAATAAAAGTTCAAATTTGCATATTAGTAGTAGGCCCAGTTTGCTAAGTCTGTGTGCTTATTCATGTTTACATGCTTTGGGAATGGTGTGATCTTAATGAAAATAAGGGAGACCCCTGCCTATGAGGGACCATGGGAAACCCTAGTTTTCTGTAATTTTCAGACAGTGTTAGGACATAACACCCCGTCTGCAGCATCCTTATGTAGCTGTGATGCTTTTCAGTAGTGGGCACCTGCTGAGTCTATAGCTGACAAATGTTGTAAGCTCCAGACTTAGTCTGCCCCAATTTTAGTCAAAGTTGTACTCTATGAAGGCACTGATAATAGTTTGGTTCCATTGGTACGTTTGGGACTTGCTGCAAGAAAGTTGATATGTAACCAGAATGTGGGATTATTGCTGAAATTTCTAACAATCTTGATGTTTCCCCCTCTTACGTCTAATGATCAATATGGATTTGGATATTTGAATTGTGATCTCACTTCCAGGCCCTGAAGGTCAGCCCTTAAATCTGAGATTATTGCATGTAAATGTAGAGTGTTAAATCTCAAGATATTAGCAGGTTTAAAGTATTCCAGTACATTTTTTATATAAAAGTTGGAAAGCAATATGTTTATAATTATTATCATTATTATTATTGACTGTGGTTATGATAATGATAATAATAGTAAAAGCAGGGGTATCTAAAGACGTACCACATCATGTCACAGTGAGTTTAGGCCATCTTTTAAATTGGTGTTAGGAGTTACCTGACCTGATCCCTGTAAACACTGCTGTGATTGAGCTGTGTCCGTGTTCAGTGACAGAACAATACATACAGTAGCAGGAATGCTGGGTATCTCTTAGTATTATAAGTAATGTTGTGCAGCTATCAAAACTAAAGTGTTCTAAATCTAACCACCTACATCTGTCAATTGACTGGGTACAAAGTGTGTGTCCCTCTTGAAATTTTAGGTCACCTTGGAAATATCAAATTTGCACAAATGGGTATTATGCCATAGCTGTTCCATGCTTAGAGTTGTCTGGGCTCCTGTAATTTCTGTAATTAGGTTGTGCAAATTATCTAGTTAATGCAATTATAAAGCCTACGTTTCAACTCAAAAAAAGTACAGTACATGATTTAGTCAGTGGAAGAACACGAGGCACACAGTTTCCTCTGCAAGCCCAGGAATAAGAGAGCCATACACAGCTGTGATCAGCCCAAAGCTGTAGGGGAATGTCATTTACCTAACATGTACATCTCTGCAGACTTCTGTACAGGCCTTTTGGCAGCTCAAGAATATTAAAGTCTAACTTAACCTTTTGCACACATTTATATAGTAAAGCACTAATGCCAAAGAGACAGCCTTATAAATAGTGAAATGATCTACTTTGTTTTCTTATGCTTTTAAGTATCCGTTGTGTCCAAAGGGAAATGCTTAAGGGTATTGTTGGTACTTATCTGTGTCCATACATAGCTGTGTGGACACCTGTAGCTTAAAGTAGTAATGAACCCAAAATTAAATATGTAATATATTGCAGTTTACTAATCCTTAGATGTGGTGGCTGCATTAGTTTGCTTTTGTTAAGGCTTTTTTCCTCTTTATTTCACCTGCTGATCTGGCCAGTAACACACTTTGGGGTTGGTTTACTAAAGGCTAATAGACTGTGCACTTTGAAAGTGTAGTTGCTCCAGAACTTTGTAAATGAGGGGGAGCTCTGTTGGCTTCCACCATCCAATCATGTGCAAGCAAAAATGCTTTTTTAAAAATTTTCCTTGGACGTGACTGACCATTTTTTGCAATGGCAAGCCTCACCTCATTTACTAAGCTCTTGAGCAACTGCACTTGCAAAGTGCACAGTCTATTTCCCATTAGTAAATCAATACCTTTGTGTCTTAAGTGTCTGCATTTTGGGTGATGTAGTAAAGCAAATTCCTTTGGACAGCAGCATTGTCAGTTCGGGGAGGGAGTTATGTTACAGCAAACAGATTGGTCTCCTTTTTTGGATAAACATAGTTACATAGTTAGTCTGGCTGAAAAAAGACAAAAGTCCATCCAGTTCAACCATAAAAAAATAAATAAAAAAAAGTTATAATCCTTTACCCACAGTTGATCCAGAGGAAGGCAAAAAAAAAACCAGCAAAGCATGATCCAATTTGCTCCTGGTTTGAAAAAAAACTCCTTCCTGATTCCCTGAGAGGCAATTGGGTATTCCCTGGATCAACTTTACCTGTAAATGTTAGTAACCAGTTATATTCTGTGTATCTGGAAAAGAATCCAGGCATTTTTTAAAGCAATCCACTGAGCTGGCCAGAACCAACTCTTGAGGGAGTCTATTCCACATTTTCACAGCTCTCACTGTGAAGAAACCTTTCCGTTCCGAGTTCACTATATGAACCACTGATGTATTTATACATGTTGATCATATCGCCCCTTAATCTCCTCTCCTCAAGAGAGAATCATTTAAGTTCCTCTAATCTTTCCTCATAGCTGATCTCCTCCATACCTCTTATCAGTTTTGTTGCCCTTCTCTGTACTTTCTCCATTTCCCCAATGTTCTTTTTGTGAATTGGTGCCCAAAACTGAACTGCATATTCAAGATAAGGTGATTTGTACAGGGGTAATATGATATCTCTCTCTCTGGAGACTATACCTCTTTTAACGTAAGAGAGGATTCTGCTTGCTTTAGAAACTGCAGTTTGGCATTGCATGCCATTATTAAGCTTGTGATCTACCAGAATTCCCAGATCCTTCTCCACCATTGATTCCCCCAGTTGTACCCCCCCTAGTATGTATGATGCATGCATATTCTTAGCCCCCAAGTGCAGAACCTTACATTTATCAACATTAAATCTCATTTGCCACATAGTTGCCCAATTAAACAGAGCATTGAGGTCAGCTTGTAAGTTGAAGACATCCTGTAAGGACGTTATTCCACTGCACAGCTTGGTGTCATCTGCAAAGACTGAAATGGAATTTTTAATCTCAGACCCTATATCGTTTATAAATATGTTAACAATTAAAGGTCCCAACACTACACCACTAACAACCCTAGACCATTCAGAGTATGAATCATTAACCACTACTCTCTGAATACGATCCTTTAACCAGTTTTCTATCCATTTACATACAGATTTTTCCAATCCTGTAGACTTTACCTTACACATTAGCCGGGTGTGGGAAACTTTGTCAAACGCTTTTGCAAAATCCAAGTATACCACGTCCACAGTCACCCCCCTCTGTCCAAGTATACCACATTCATAGCCACCCCCCTGTCCAAGGTTTTGCTCACCTCCTCATAAAAAGAAATCAGATTTGTTTGACAACTTCTGTCTTTTATGAATCCATGCAGTCTGTTGCTTAAAATATTTTTTTTTCCAGCAAGAACTCATCTGTGTGATCTTTTATTAAACTCTCCAGTATCTTCCCAACTATAGCAGTTAAACTAACAGGTCTATAAT